AATCTGGAAAGACAAATGTAGTCAGCTTTCATCGATAACGATTTTCAATAGACCAGTACAGACCCCTCGAAGACGGTCACATATAGGAAACACGAGTCTCAATAATCAACGACGCTAACGAAACAAAAGGAGGAGACTCCGGTAACGACGAGATTCAGCCACAGATTAAAATGGCCGCAACTCTACAATCTTAAATTTATAATTTTCCACTATTCTGAATAGTAATTATAATTCTTCCCCTTCATTGTGTACATACAGAGTATTAAGCCCATATTTTGCACTATAAAAATCGGCATATCTTGTGTATTCTTACCTTTATGTGTATAAATTTTTTCAAAATTACACCATATTCCTTTTATTTCTTAACAGTATTTCATATAACCTCAGAGACGGGCACGAATCAGATACACAGCACATATTATCTTCATTCAAATTTTGTACAAGACGTTATCTTCAAACGACTGTAATTATTCTATACAGTTTACCATTGTTCACGCAAACACAGACATTTTTTCATATATCTTTGTTTGCAGAGGGGAGTTATTATAGCAACTATCCTACGACCATTTTCGATTATGGTTAATTCTGGTTAAGCCCTTTTATCAACTAATTTACTTAACAGACAATGTTATTAGAACAGTAACAGCTCGCATATTTCTTTGTACAGTTATGATTACTAGATCACATGAAAGAATCTAGCTAGAATGTTGATTGCTTAAATATCACTCGATGATTCATCCCCCTCCCCACTTATATATGTGCTCAAATCCTATTATTAGTCCCTGCTTTGCCTTGCTGCGGCCTTATGAAATTCGACTGTAATTTCGCTTATGTGATTGCTCGAATATATTTATTCGCCTCTCCACTTCCAATTCGCTTGATGTGCTTATAGCTTTGTGATCTGCTCTATCCGCTAATAAACTTTAGTTGCCGCTTGTCATTGCCTCTGATTTCAAACATCGTTGATGTTTATATGATTACGGTTATCGAGGTGATTGACTAACTAAGCAAAGCCACTACAAGGTTTTGGAATACAATTATTATACAAAATTTTAAAAAATTCATATAATATTAATGTTTGACCAAAGCAAGGACAATTAAAGTATCAGAATATCAGGAATTCAGGTGAGACGATAATGTATGAATGGTCTTCGAGCGACGCTAAACTGACCTTGAGAGTGTACACCTAATAACTAGGACAAAATGAAGGTTATAAACCAGTGTAAGGAATTGGAATTATGAATTGCGGCTGATAGTTAGGGATTAGATTTAGGGTTTTTATCACGAACTGACATCAGCAATAATGTCAAAACTCTATTTAGCCAAATGGATGAGACTTGCTATCTTATATCTGATTGGTTCGTTCATAAATTATAGTCTCGCCGATATGTAACCCTTGAAACAAGATTGAGTAGCTGAGCAGTAAATTAGACGCTCTTTGTTTACTAATTATCTTTGACTTTCGAATACCGACGCCATGGCCACTGGCAAGCAGATGGTGTACGATTGCACTGCTGAAAGTGTTATCCTCTTAATTTAACCTCCTATAGAATGTGCTCAGGGATGCGGACACTAACCCTCCTTTCTCTTCTTCCTATATATATGCTTTGGCACGTACATGTAAACTGGTAGGCATAATTGGAGGTAACATAAGGCAGGAATTTGTTCACACATAACTACCTTAATGTGTAAGTCGTCTGATACAGAGATCACATTGGCACCTGGATACGTACTTTTTATTATGGCCTTTAATATGAAATCAATCTTTCTAGCTATTTCATAACTCATGAAACCAAGTCTTAGGAAGACAGACTGCTTTTCAACCATACCATGCTCCATCTCTGCTTTAGTCTTCCTATACTTCGTCATGAATTTTTGAGGGTAAATACTATTACATAAACAACGTCCAACTAGGGTTAATTCTCCATCAATTTTATCTTCTGACACGATTGAAAATCGTTCTAATCAAGGACACCTCGTAGCTTATTGTACAGAAGTTACTGAAGTTTAAATATATTCCGCTCTATTTGTCCTTGCAATAAATATCTCTCCAATGCACTATTTGTATTACGATTCATACCAAGGTCTAGAAAACGGAACACGTTATCATGTTCCATTAGAAATCTAATACTTTCCTGTGCCATATTGAGAATTTTCAGTGTATGAGAAGCATGCTGACAACCATCACAGGCCATAAATATATTACCAACATACCGGATGTGAAGATATGTATTATTGATTACTGATTTCATTACTGTCTGTTCTAGGTTCCCCATAAAGATATCTGCTAGAACTAGACCCATTGGTCGAACTATAGTCACTACTCCATCAATCTGACGATATAAGACGTTATTGAATTGAAGCTAAATACTGTTGTATCTTTAAACCCGGATAATTATCACGTGACTTATTTGCCAATCAGAATACAATCTATACAATCTTAGAATTGTGCCAAACCAATGACGTATCGACCAGTATGACCAGCCTAACCTTGCCAGTTGAGTCCAGAACACCAATACCAGCTTCCAATATACGAATCATTTATTTCAAACAAATCTGGTTTATATACAACCCAAACGGACCACATCACACCATAAAATAGGAAATAGCATTTGTACAAGATTAAGCCAAAAAGTGGCTGTGATCGTGGGAGACTGTAATTAACAAACCGAGTATAATTTGAGAATATTAAATCGTATCGTAATAGTCTATAGGTCAAAATAAAGCTTATAGTAAGAGGAATATATATATATATATATATATATATATATATATATATATATATATATATATATATATAATCTAGCTACTGAATAGTTATATGATAAGAATATACGTATAATATTAGTAAATAAATAGTTCCCAGAAGTTATTTATAATTTAATCTTCACTAGGATATGAAAAATATTTTTGGTAAGAGCTGCTTGAATTCATCTTTTGGTAGGGAAAGTAGTTCAGCCTATTGACATTTTACTTGCATGGTTTCTTCCAGTGGATTGCGGTAAATAATGATAATACATTAAAGAAAAACATGAATTTATTAGAAACGTCAACTTTTTCTAGCATTTAAGTAAACTGAAAGGTGTCTTTTAAACTACAGACAGAAAAATTTGAACAGATCTGTTCCAACTTACTGATTGATAAACCAGCGGGCGAGCTTCTGAAATGAAGTACTAATCATTGATAATATTGGTTTTACGGTTTTAAGAAGGTGGTCAGAAATCGCAAAATATGATGAATTTATGTTATTCTGTTACGTTAATGGTTCTTGCTTAGTCGAATTTACCAATAGGAAAAATTGTATGGAACCTTAATTTTACCTGCTACATAAAAATGGTATTTAAGCTTTGTGTTCACGTTCCTACTTTAATAACACCATTGACAGTAAAAGAAATTCTTTTTCTTTATTCCTCAAAGAATTCAACTTCCTCCGTGTAATTTATTGAACTGTGATAATCACCCATGAGTAAACAGACCGAAAAACGTGGACAATCCATATTAGGAATTTAGCTCTTTCTCGTTTACTAATTTTGAAATCAAACGTTCATCTTAGCTGACTAAAACAATTTTCTATAGGATCATTAAAACTAGATATAATTTTCATGTTAAATATAAAAGAAACAAATGTATAAATTAAAGCGCCATAATAGTATTCAGGTATAAAATTTCGTTTAACTGATGAAACATAAAACCAATTAAATGGTTTTTAATGAAACAAAAGGTTTTGTTTTCCAAAAAAAAATATGACATCATGTTTATCAGTTCCTACCAACTTATATGAAGTTGTAGAAGATGAACGAAGGTTACATGTTGGTTATCTAATGAAATTTATTATCAATCAATATTATTTTATTTAGTTAAACCTTTCAATGTATTCACTACACAATTTAATTCTCTCCGTAAAAATTTAGATTAACTACCAACTTCCTCGAAAATCACCAAACATAACTGATATAAATTACGCTACTTAATTGACTTTTGTAGATATTTATGTAGTTCCAGGATGATTATTATCATTGTGTAGCTTTAGTTAGAGAAGGATTGAATACGAAAAAAGTACTAGATATATGTTTAGTTCAAGTCTTGGCTTCCAACCGAACTTCACAAGATTGTATTTTCCGTAGTTTCCAGTAACGATAATCAAGATACACTTCTCGTCCAATTTAAGACAACTCAATATTGATATTTACATTAAGACGTGAACCTAATTAATTATCATTAACATAAAAACTGGAATGAATTCATAACGAATTGAAATTGCTACACTTCACATCAATACGATAAAAGAGGAAAGTGTCAACGAAAAAAGCTAACAAGATATAATAATAATTACATCTTGAATCCAGTACTCAGGTTGATTACATTTTCCGTAATATACAAATAACATGAAAATGACAATAAAATAACCTCCCAGTTATTTGGAAAGAGTACATATACATATGCACAACCATTAATTAATTCTACCCAACCAATTAAATTGATCATTTACAACAATCAAGATAAAACAAATAAAAAAAGAACAATCAAAGCCATATAATGTCCTCTATACACACAAATGTATCACTTATATACAATGAAAATAAAAATTCTAAATAAAACTGATAACAAACAGAAGAAAAAGAGAATTAAGATTTTTGATATAAAACAGACATATGATAAATATTATTTCTACGATTACACAACACAAGATCATCTCTACACATAAATCGATATCCTCCCTCATAATAAACAAATGGATTATTTAACTTACTGTGAAAAGATAAAACACTTGTAAGAAAGTAAAAGAATAATAATAACAATTGTTTGGCTAACTTCATTGGTTAAAAGTATTTACAATATATATAGTCAAAGATGTGCAGTATGTGTGAGAGAGTGAGAGAAAAAAAAGTTAAATAGTCAACTAGTTGATAACTCTTAAACAGTATCTGATCGTCTTAGCAGACACTAGGACAAGATTAATCTAGTTATGATTTTTCTCAGAATATAACTAGAAAAAGGTACTAAGTACATGAATAAGTTCGAGATAATTTCGAAGAAAAAGATGTAGCAGTATTAGTACTAGTTGAAGAAGTTGGTAATGTCGAAGAGGAAGAAATGAATGAATGAAATTTATTATAGTTTAATTCAAAACATGATAAACTTCGATTCGGTTGAAAAAGTAAATGTTGATGATGACGGTGATGATGATGATTTATTGAGGATCGTGTTTCTTTTACACGATTAATAGTTGATGGTTTCTCCTCAATAACTAATCCTAGAATGACGGTTATGTCACCAGGAACTCCACCTTGAAAAAAATGATAAGTATAAAATAGTGGTTGAATGTTAATATAAATTTATAATGTTAAATAGATTTCATTACATTAATGAAAATGCTTACTGTTACAGAATAATTTGATAGTTGATACACTTTGATATATTTAACATGCACATATGCCAAAAAAAGACTGATCAATTGCAATCCTTAACATCAATGGGAAGATTTAAACAACCAGTACAAATGAATTAAACATACTTCGTTACACAAACTGGATTCAATCGTTAATTGGATAATGCGATGGAATTTAAAGCGAACGGTACTGGATTCGAGTCTCGAAGTGAACACCAGCTCTAGGACGTAACTATACCCAGCTGACCAGTTCTAAATAGGACAAAACGTGCGTCTTGAATTCCATTGCTAATCACTCTCTACCTCTGCTTAGGCCATAAATAGTTATATCAAATACATCACATGTACTGAGGCTTAAAGAAGTTGACCGGGTACTGATTATAAAATCGACACTGTTTGACAACGGGAATGGAATAATGAACAGAGTAGGTTTATCCGAGGATTTGAAAAATTCAAATTTTGGAAGAGTTATACGCATATATCTCAGTATTTTGATGGGAAAGTAGCATATGAAAGCTTAATGAACATACCAGGTATGTGAAGTTCAATTTAGATTAAGTTATTGGATGTGGATGAAAATCATTTATGAACCAACATGTTGTTTAAAGGCAGATTACAGTTAGTAATGAAGTCATTCTAACTCTTCTTGGTGCAGTGCGAAGCGCGTTCGACCACCAATGGAGTTGATTAGCGCTGGTTCGTGAACTAAGCCCGCCCATATCGATTAGGAGGGGACCGCAAGCTAATCCAATCGACAGCATCCACAATGTTCACCTCGTCAATATAGTCAATAGAGGCCCATTCCTTCAAATTTTATCTCCAAATGCCCCGGTATGGCCGAGGGTGTGGAAAGTCAGCTCTCCTATATATGCTCTCACATGGCCACGTGCATACAACAAATGCCAGGAAATTCCTACTCACTGCCTTCTCGTGGCAGGGTGTTCTTTACGAAATTGAGAGAACGAAAAGCGAATATTCGGCGCTTTAACCGGCTTGGTGAATACAGAGGATCTACCTAGGGGAGTTGGGTAACCCTGATTCCAAACCAATGGTGTACATGGGCTCCAGGATCCCGGGGAAACAAACGGCATATGAACTCATTGTTGGTCACCGGCTACTGTGGTACTACATCTAACGCTGCTCCACTGCCTTGTAGATTAGAACGCTATGTCAAAGGTTCGGGGAGTGATGCACCCAAAATCCACCTGTTCCAATTTGGACAAGCTCCAAGTAGACACTTGAGCAGTATTTCAGCCCTCATACAAATAGAATTATTTGTGTGACGCATATGTATTTGGTGAATCTGTGTACCAATATTTGTGTTTAAATAATCAAATGGCAATTACTGCCGGAAAAATTACTCTTGCTTCAACTATCATTCAGACAAATCATATCCACAATCATTTGGTAATATTCGTTTTTATTTCTTTTATACTACGTCACTTATCTACTCCATTTTACACAGCTCTATCTAATCGATCTCAAGTTACTGATTGGTCGAAAGTTGAATGCTACCACCAACTACGAATACTGAATAAGTCTTTCTGAAACCACGTATATAATTTAAACTGGCCCCCTTAAACGTTCGCGCACTAAAACAGATTGGACAACAGATAGGGTTGACTATGTCTCTAAAAAGTCGCAACATCAACGTCTGCTGTCTATTCGAGAATCTTATTCAAAACTCTAGTGAAGTACTACAAACTCTCCATCCGCTGATTATATAGGCTTGTTCCCCGAGCGATTAACGGGGGGTTGTGTGGTATCTTTACCTGGTTTTGTTGGTATCTGTGTCGCACCAAGTGCTAGAGCTGAGGCAATACTAATCGCCTGGATCCAAAATAACAATTGATTATGTGCTGTTAGATTAGAAAGCTCCATCAAAGTCCGAATAAATCAGTGTGAGAAACGATGTGTTTTCGTCATCTCCGCCTACACTCCAACAGACTCTAGTTCGGATGTAATCAAACATGAGTATGACCACCCGTTAGGTGTTCTACAAAACGTGCGTTCGAGAGATATTAAAGTACTACCCAAAGACTTGATAGTACAGGTCAGGAGTCTAGGCACATAGGAGAAACGTTCGGGTGGCCAATGGAGTCTTGTTGATCGCAGGTCAGATAACAATGACCGTTTACTGCAACTTTGCGTAGACTACAACCTGTTTCTGGTTGACATTAACTATCGGCACAGTCACCGCCGATGTGCTACCTGAATTCCTACTTTTACATCTCAAACTTGGGATCAGATTGATCACATCGTGATCAGCTACCTTTGGCGTAGTAGTATACAAGACTGACGCCCCTTTCGGAGTACTTACCTGGACTCTGACTATGCCTTTCTTTGTACTAATCTTTTCTTACGTTTCAGTGGGCAACAGATCTATTGACCTAAAGGTCGAAATCAGTGAATTAGTTGCAGTTTCTATTAAAATTAAATATCAAACCGAGCTAGGCTCAAAGCTGGTTATCAACCACCGAAAACTATAGATGAGGACTGATTGTAGTTACATGACGCCATGAAAATGGAAAGTAAAGTCGCTTGCGGCCTCGCAAATCATCTCACTTGGAAGCGCTGAATTTCTACAGACTCCTTACAACTCATTGAAGCACGTTGATCTACTCCGGGTGGTCGGTTACGACTGATCAACCTAAAGAGGCGAAATTCCGCAAGGAACTCCTACTCTTGAAGTACCACAAAGCGCTAGACACAGAAGACTTTCCCACGACTCCATTTAAAGACGATGGTAACCTTATGGTTAAGGAAATGACTTGTTTATAGACGACTAGCGGCTAGAGAGTGTTCTAACGTCGTGGAATTAGTCGGCGGTTGTCCCTATTTTTAAAAAGGGTTCACGTCGTTTCTGCAACAACTATCACGGGATAAGTCACCAAGTCGGTTAAGGCGTCGAATATTTGCTTTCAGTTCTCTCAATTTCGTAAAGAACACCCCCGCCACGAGAAGGCAGTGAGTAAGAATTTCCTGGCATTTGTTGTATGCACGTGGCCATGTGAGAGCATTTATAGGAGAGCTGACTCTCCACAGCTTCGGCCGCACCAGGGCATTTGGGCGCCCTAACTGAACTGCTGCTTCCATTGTTATTATTATTATTATTATTCACCTCTGACACTTGTTTCTGTTCATTGTTCTTCTTTTTGTATTATACGCACTTTATATTCCCTCTCTGCACAACCTCACTGTTATTTTATGGTACATATATATATTTTGGTGCCCTCTTATTCCAATATTTATGTGTTCAAACAAATAATAAGACTCTTAGACACCTGTATAACATTTAACTGTCCTACATTATATACCCAGATTTCTTCTTTGGATAGAAAGTGACTAACGTAGTTTACAAACCCAATGAAGAATTTTAGGTATGCATTATTTATTTGCATATGGTTTATGATTGGTAATCTGATCATGTCATTTGTTAAATGCTTACACACAGTCAAAAACCATCAAAAGTAGGGAAGCTACCTATTGAGAACTACTAACTGAAATTGGTAATGTGAACCATCAAATACTAGCTCATCAATCCAATGGAAACACACATCACATAAGACTAACAGAACTTGAGTCTGATCCTTGAAAAGTTTGTAAGGGTGTACTGTTGAGTCCTAATCTCAGTCAGTCATAAACAACATAGAACCTTGTTCATTTGTGTGCTGGTTCAAAAATGAACTAATACGTCGTATACTCGTCCTCTGGTTGATGAATGGACATCTTGCCCATATCGCGGGCGTTGCAAGTAGGCGAAAACCAACCGAGATTTCTAAGGCCGAGTCCCAAAGTAATAACCTAGGACAAGATAGATGTTTTCAGTGATTTCTGTTTCGTATTAGTTACTCATCAACTAAGGTTAGCTCGTGACGTAAATGATTACAAAATTTAACGAATATTTAAAATCATTCAGTTAAACAAAAATGATAAACTTAAGAAGACAATCTTATTTCACTGTTTCTATTTCAGGTACATAGGAAACACTGTAACCAATTTTTTGAAATTGTTGACATACTTAAAAATAAGAACCATTTGATAAAGAGGTCTACAATTACCATGAAAGTTTGAGAAGGTTTCGAAATACTAAGTCAAATATTTTAACATCAACTATATTTACTTAATACGTAGAAGTAGTAGTCAGTCAGTCAGTCAGAAACAACGTGAAACTTCGTACGTACATACATCAGTTCGAGTTGCCATACCACATTAGCACAGAGATGCAGTTGTCGATTCAAATCCCGTAGTGATAGAGGTAGTAAAAGTATAAGCAGTAATCGGAAGCATTAGGGTTTGAAGATGTTATTCAATGAGTATAATACAGTGAAATAAATTTGGAAAGAGAAAAAAGAAAAGGACATGAAGAATTCAGAAGATTAGAATTTTGGAGAACACAAAGATTGGATGCACCTACGCCATTGCAGACGATTTTGAGCCATGTCATTCAAGATCTCTAACCATCGGTTGCTATCATCTCGCGGATCACAAACAGGTAGTCCACACCTACCAACATGGCTCAGTCCACTTGTCAGTGACTTCATGGATTTGTGCCATGTTTTGATCTGGCCGTCCCTAGCTTCCTTCCAACCTACTCCTACTCCATAAAACATCGCACGTCGATGCAGTCGGTGGTTGAGCATACGTAACACGTGTCCAAGCCATCTCAACTGATGAATTTTTACTACTTCGTCAATTGATTTGCCATCCTTACCTAGTAACCGTTTCCTAACAACTGTATTACTTACTCGGTGCTCCCAGGATATACGAACAACATTTCGAAGACACCTATGATCAAATACTAGTAACCCACGAATATCCTCTACTCTTATCGGCCATGTTTCACTACCGTAAAGTAGGACGGAACGAACTGCTGCGCAGTAAACACGTCCTTTGGTTGATAGACGGATATCTCGACTACACCACAAATGATGCAAGTTGGCAAAAGCTAGTCGAGCCTTCTGTATCCGTGCTGAGATTTCTTCACACACCACACCACAAAGGCTGATGAGACTTCCAAGATAAGTGAAGCGGTCAGCATGCTCAGCTACTTCACTCACCATCATTAATTCGGTTGTCGACGCAACCCAATCCTGAAGCAACATTTTGCATTTCGAGGGAGAGAACCGCGTTCCAAACATGCTTGCATTGTTGCTTATAGTGGTCAGAAGATTCTGTATTTTGTCAGCGTCTTCACTAAATAGAACTATGTCATCGGCATATTCTAAGTCAACAAGTGGATCTCTCGGTAAAAGTTCAACTCGTAGAAATTTAGATGAGGAAAGTGTCATCTCTAAAAGCACGTCAACGACAAAGTTAAACAAGAATGGAGAGAGTAGACAGCCCTGACGAACACCACTTGACGTAATCAATTCTGATGACAGTTCGCCATAAGCTCTCACTCGACCAGTTGTGTTCGAGTAGAGAGCCTTTATAAGGTTAATGTACTTCTTTGGTACTTTTGTCAGTGACAAACACTGCCACAGAACCTCACGATCAACAGAGTCAAGTGCCACCTTAAGGTCGAGAAATACTACGATTGTGGGACGTCTGAATGTGTGCCTATGTTCTAGGACCTGTCGTAGTGTGAATATCTGATCTTTACAACCACGCCCAGGTAGAAAACCAGCTTGGTTTTCTCTAGTCTGCTCTTCACGTGCTTTGGTTAGGCGTCCAAGTATTATTGAAGCTAATATTTTAGACACTATATTAGTCAAACTAATTCCTCCGTGATTGTCACAGGAGGATTTTTTTCCTTTCCTATAGACTGGCACAATCAGTAATTGAGACCAGTCAGATGGGATTACGTCCAGTTCCCAGATTCTACCTAAGACCTCAGTCAATCTCGCTGCTAATACTAGACCACCATCCTTAAACATCTCAAGGGTAAACCTGTCAGGGCCTGCTACTCTCCCATGCTTCAGATTTCCTATAGTTTTTTCAATCTCGTAAAGAGTTGTAGGACTTACACTAACTTGCCATTCAGGTCGACTGGGGATCGTGGGAAACCGAAGTGTGGCTGAAGGCCAGTTGAACTGATCCCTAAAGTGTTCTGCCCATCGATCCAATCTCCAGGGTACATATAATAAACTAATTTATCAAATATAAATTTGTGCATTCTTCCTTAAGTTTAGGTGTTAAGGCTGGTGATGAAGTCAAATTCCTTCATCTTTTAACGTGTATAAAAAAACTAACGAAACAATGGTAGAAAAAACACTTCAATTTGGTAAGAACACAGATTAATTCCAACTGACCTGCAATGTTTATACCGTAACGACGTGCTTCACGAGCGAATGGAGAAACGAAATCAGGAGCGAACGCCGCACTTCGAGCTTGCTCTACAAGACGTGTAGCACATTTTTTTAAACTATCAATTGTACAGTTTGCAAGTAACTGGAAAGTAGTAGTGCAGAGAAAATAGAGTTGGAAAACCTGTTTATTATATATCTTTTTAAACTCTTACTTTCTATCCGACAAATAATCATAAAATAAATTTCCGAATTTTTCATTGACTTCGACATACAAGATAAATTTGAATATTATTCCCATTGAGAGCTACTTAAGACATATATTACCAGTCTAGGGAAGAAGTTTCACTGATATCATAGCAACAACTGATGGAGGAAAACCGTTATTGTAAGTCAAATGAAAAACTTCATGGAAAATCAGGTTCAAAATCTAAACTTAAACAAAATCCTAAAATCAGTTTATGTTAAGTAAATTGAATTTTTATGTCGTTGATGAGTACATATGATCCTGGTCTATCGCTACAACAATGTGAAATAAATACGATACAATGGTAGTAATTGTTCAAGAGCAACTGAAACAATAGCGGATCAACTACAGCAAATCCCTTACAATTAATTTTGCCAAGCCCTTCAATTAACTCATTTAACACACAGCATTCCAAGAACACTGTAGGGTTTGGGTTCGAGACAATAACTTAGCTTTCGTTTATTGCCACGACAACCGTTATTAAATAAATCCCAACGGTGCAAGAATTCAGAAGGAAACAAGAAGTGGCAACTACAGTTTATTAATCGACAACACAGATAACCAAGTTACAAGTACATCGAGCGAATTGGAGCAGAGAGGCGAGTGCGCGCGAGTAAGCGGATACAGAGGCAGATTCGGAGTCAAATCGAACCAAGGCGAAACGAAGCACAGCAAGGCAATTAATAAGATTCGAGCACATATATATGGGAAGGAGAATGATTCATCAAGAGATATTTAAGTGATTAACATTTAAGGTAGAGTGAAGAATAGGTGTGTAGGCTGTCACATGTGATTTAGCATACACATTTATACAGACATGATCGTGATCATAATAATATAATGAAATATACGAATTGTTACTGTTCAAACAACGCTGTCTGTTAAATAAGTTAATAACGCGTAATCAACATTAATTGTGACAAAGTTGCTACAACAATATCAATGACTGCCAATTTCCAATGGCTACAACCACATTTTTACATGCATCGATACATTCATGCAATGGCCTGTAGCGGTACCGATAAAGGATGCCTCAGCTGAGTCTGTTACCAAGGCCTTAATCGATAATTGGATTTCTTGTTATGAAGTGCCAGCGATTATCACAACTGATGGAGGAGCTCGATTGGCAAGTCACCTTTTCCAGCAGCTTACAGAACTTCTCGGGGTTAAACGTGCTCGCACGATATCCTACCACCCGATAGCAAACGGTATGGTTGAACGCCGACACAAATAGTTAAAAGCGTCTCGTACGACTGTCATTGTCAATAACGATTGGGCTAATAAGCTTACTCTAGTCATGTTTGGTTTTAGAAAAACAATCAAACAAGATATTGAATGTTGTCAAGCAAAGTTGGTGTATGGAGCTACGCTACGTTTACTGCATAATAGCACTCATTTGTTCATTAGAAGGGATAACGTACAACCGCCTTGGAAGCCGAACTACGATGGTCTGTTTGAAGTGATTACAAGGACAGATAAAACAGTTGCCGTAGAAAAAGCTGGAAAGATAGATGTAATCAGCATAGACCGAGAATGAGAATGATAGGGATATATACTTTTAGAACGATTTGGAGTTCCAAGTGTACGGCAAAGTAACTACCAGGTGAATTACGTATACACATAAAAAGACCAAAACTACCCAACATTCCAAATTACAATTTAATATAATAGTCGATAACTTTACGCACTTATGTAGTGTTTTATGCTAACTGTTTATTTTTTTACAGAATGAAGTTAACGCACGTGAAGATTTAAGAGGACCTATGGTAAGACAATCACATGTGCATATAAAGTGTGAACACAATCAAAGTAGGTTTTGTAAGAAAACAGACCTCATAGTAAGAACCACGCATTTTATGGTTCATGAATGATAGAGAATATAAGTTTAAATACTATTTAGGAACATTCTAGACCATTCTGAAAATATTAGAAACAATATCATTGGAAATCAGCATATCTATAGAAGACAAAATTCGTGAGTGAATAAAATTGAGTTATTGATAACTATTCATAAAGTTAACACTGAATTTCAAAGCCCCAAGCACTAGTTTATTGGTTTAGACTCAAACCCTGTTCGATTTGTGTAGCCAATAAAATGTTAGATACAAGTACATGTAATTATTTTATTATGTCAAAAGAGAACTCATACTGTCCCTATAATGACATTCCGATAACATACGGCTTCCTTTAATGGTTAGATGGGTGGAAAAACTTAACAAGTTGAAAGAAATACTTCAATAAGATAATTTTAAACCTTTTCTAAAGTTTTTATTCCATTCACAACCACTGTTATTCAATATAGAGTGCGACCAACTATGCAATTATACGATGAGCCTTTTTGTCGGAGATTGAATAATTAACTAGTGATTGTGTCACAAGGGTTATAGCCAATCATTAGAAGCAATATATGGTAGTGTTTACATCAATAAAAAATTGACTAGTATCCTAACATTCCTTAAAAATTGGTCAGTTTGTTATATTAAAAATATTCGATTTCCTTCCAATCAACTATATGAGTCTGGAAATTTCTGACGGTTTTTCAATACTTATGTGAAGACAAAATTTCTTAATTATCTTCAAATGAAGTTGATAAATTTTTTTCCATACAAATACACACATCTTACCTCAATGGTTTTTACCTCTTGTAATATCATTGACTCTGTCAAATTATCGAACAAGCCATCGGTGCCTACGATAATTATGTCACCCGGTTTAACTTCTATAGATGTTTGGGCAGCTTGATTAGGTCTATAAAATATTTTAATACGTATAATTTGCTATAGAAGTACTTAAATTATCAAAAGCATTGACAAATCAGTAATGACTGTATAGTAACTAAAAAATGAGACAAGAAACAAATTTTGGGTAGGAAACATCACCAAAATATTTAGGAATGATAATATCAATGATAATTAAACATTGAATCGTTTTTTTACATGATGAAAACGATTTTCAGATCAAGCATATACCGGATATTATTTCTGTTCCCGTTAAGAGTTTTATACTCACAAATAAATAAGTTCATTCAGCAGTGGATCCCATTTTATTTACAATCACCAGTCTATATTAGTTAATTTGTTCACTATATATTATATTGTTCTCGATAGTCATTTCCGTTTCGATATTATTCTATTAGTTGGAAATATTTAACATCTAATGGAACCAAATTTATAGTTTAAAAGAAGTTGCACAAGACTAAATTATTCTTGAACAATGGAGTACAATTCAGATCAGATTAGACAAATTTATTTCCAAATGCTCGGTATACTAGCAATGTAAATAAACCAAACTTAAATTGTTTGTTTTCATTTGCTATAATTGAAGAGGAAAGTATAACTGTTACACAGATGAAGTCCGATATATAATCACCATGTAGACATATTGGAATCAAACTCAATAACCAGATAAAAAATTATCGATTGCCCACGTAGACTTATGCATTTATTAATCGAGGACGACTTCGAACTACAATAACTAGTAATCCAATATTCCACATGAACAATGAACAATTAACTGGTATTCCTTCATTATTATCAATAACTGATATACCAAGAGATTGTCTGAAAACCCATTTCAGCTGACAACGTTAATCAAAATGTAGAACTACACCTGTCTACCAATCTTTTACATATAAAACTATGGTATCTTGGTCTGAGTATTTACTCTGAATTATCCCTTCCGTCTTGAACCTACACAAAACATCGACCACGTCACTCTAGATTACTAGGTATTAATGTTAGTTTATTTTATGGATTTTAAACCCAAAACTACATTATTTCTTGATTTTAATTACATTGAAAATTGTGCAGTACATATTATGTGCTAATTATTTGAATCAGGACTCAAATATTTAAAAATTAAAACAATGTTATTTTAAACCTACAAATCACAATGAAAACGTCTTGAGCGAAGCGTAGGTGGACAAGATAATTGGAATGGTGTATTGAATGAATGCTTTTGGTGAACTGAACGTTGAATCACATGTCCTTCACGTATAACTAAATAGCCGCTGTCACCTAGACTGGCACCATAAACCCTATGTTCATTACGTTGCAATGAAACTATGCATAGGGTTGCGCTACCTATAATAATAATAGTAATAACAATAATAATAGCATATGCACTCACTAAACTTAGATGTACACAGACATCTGATAAACCAATGGTTCACAGGTGTTGAGGTATCTTGAATAAACAACTTCTATTAAATTCCATAACGTTTTGAAGACAGGAGAGCTACACATATGGTATTTATGATATCAATACCGTATATTGTTCATTTCATAATCCAATGGTTGAGAGTCGAATGTTAGTCTTACTGACTCAGCTCTAAATGTACCCTCGGCCATTAACAGCAGTGATTTTTTCGCATGCGTCAAGTTCACTGAACTTCAGTGGAGAGAAATCGTATTACGTTTTATGTGAAAACTGTCATTAATTATTATACTATTTAAAATAAATTACACCTTAGTTTTGTTTCAAATAAACCTCTTCAGTATAACCATAAAATAAAACCTAGGGACAAAAATTTTCACAAATATGTGCCAGAACAAAAATAAAAAATTAATAGCTAACGCTTTGATATCTGTGTTTATGACATTGTTAAAATTGAGTTTTTTGGAAGTAATCCAATACATGTCGTACCCCGGCACAAGTGTACTCCAAGTTTGTATATGAACATAATCGCTTTAATTGATAACTACTTGCCCCTTTATGTGTGTTGTTCAGTAAACAATCAATGATTAGATCAATCGTAGATAACAAAGGGCCCAGTGTGACTTTTTCGGTTGAAGCTGCCGTATAATATAACGTATAATATAAGCCTCCAAATGCCCTCGTACGGCCGAGAGTGGGGAGAGACCGCTCTCCCTCTCCGAATGCTCTCACATGGCCATGCGTATATAGCCTCTGCCAGGGAAGTCCTACTCGCTGCCTTCTCGTGGCGGAGGTGTTGTTTATGAAAGTGAGAGGACGAAAAGCGAATGTTCGGCGCTTTAACCGGATTCCAAACCAATGGTGCACATGGGCTCCAGTATCCTGAAGGAACAAATGGCGTATGAACCAATCGTTGGTCACCGGCTACCATGGGACTGCATCTCCTTACGATGCTCCACTGCCTTGTGGATCAGATCTTCAGGTCGAAGGCTCGGGATGTGGCCCCCTAAGAAAACCACCTGCTTCTGCCTGGGCACCCGGGCAGTATCACAGCCCTCACACATCCAATGAGATCTGTGTGGCGCATATGTATTCGGTGCCTCCTTGTACCAATATCTATGTGTTAAAATAATAATAATAATCAGATCAATTTACAAGATGAAAAAAGTGAAGATGAGTGGGAGTAAAAACACCAAATAAAATAGAAACTACATATAAGAAATATAATCTAGCAAGAAAAAGCTAATTAGTAGAATGAAAAGCATGGGATCAGACTGAAAGTTTAGTGAAAGATAACGAATGAACGTATCTACGATAGTGCAATTGACTTTGAGTCATGTCATCACAGTAACTTACAGAAATCACCACAGATACAATGACTGAGACAGAAAAGGCTGAACAAAAATCCTTTGACGTCAATAAGTACGTTCAAAGCTGAAAAATTGTTTATGAATCTAAAACGAATTACTTTATTATAAAGGGCTAAACTTATATTCAGCCAAACTAAAAATACACTAAATTTATGGCTATATTGCCTGAAAACTGATTTAGACTTTTCAGTTACGAGTTGAAATCTTTCTCAACTACCTTATTTTGGGCACTTGTAATTTACTAATAACCACTGAATAATGTAGCATCACTATCCACATACTGAATGGATTAAGTAGTTGTCATAAACTCACACCAAACAATCAACCTACTAACATTCTGATTTGTTTAAATAGGTCGTTGTTGGTCGGTTGTTGATCCAAAGCGGTCTAAAGCAATAAATAAAGAATAAAGCTCGTAGTTACCAACAAAACAGTTCTATTCAATGTCCACTACGGGAATGGTTTTTTAAATCTCGTTAGTTAGTTATTTATTCGAACACATAAACATAGGTACAAGAAGGCACCAAATAGATATGCGCTACATAAATCATTTGATTTGTGTGAGGGCCAGGATACTGCCCGGTTGCCCAAACTTGGAACTACAACAAACTGTTTTTACTGATAAAAAATATTAGACCGTAAAACAGGAGACAAGTGGCTTACGGTTAGAATAAAACCTTATCTAAGACTTTAGTCTACGAAATTGAGTTAACCATGAGCCATTCGTTTAAAATTTTCAAAATTATTTGTACTTCCCATAGTAACACAACAATAAGAGATAGCTAAAAGACTTTCTAATTCTACTAGGCCCTTAGAAAGAGACTAAACCTGCTGTCCGATAACAATGGAACGCGAGGGATAAACAATTATAAACGACTTATCATACCCAAAATAAGTTCTTTGGAATTTAGTACATCTTCATAGCATTGGGCAATTAAAACCTCTAGCTTGTCGGGAATAAAACGACCGGAATTCACAACACGCTCACAATTCTTCATAACTGCTCTGGAGAAACGACCAGGATCGACTCCGTACGACCGCCAACCACCAACACCATCAGCGACACCTAGTAACCATAAAACATAACATTTCGTATGAAATAAAAACGATAGAGGATTTGAAGGTAGACTGGTAGAACAGTTTTATGTTTAGTATCCGAAATATACTTTAAAACTTGGGCTACAAAAAATCTTCCGCACCAAATATAATAGATGCACTTAAAAACTAGGCTTGTAATTTACTTTACTGCTAATAAGCTATAATCTGATACACTTTGATGCTTATTTTATTAAGGGTTAAAATAAAACGTAGGGAAGCAATGGACGGAATTATAATTACAAGGAAAACTAGGAATTTAGACCGACCAAAGAAATACAGGCAAATTAATTATCTAAACATCTTCACACAATATCAGCTATAAATCGGCAGGGGCCAGAGCTAAAAGTGATAATGGGGTACAACAAACGGTGACCCAGAATCTGTAAAAGTGAACAGTACACATCCCCATTTCACCTACAAACAACTAAGCCTAGATAACTTAAGCTGCATCAAGTCCTACATTTGTTTATTTAAATACCAAGTAGTTACGATTTAAAAATATAATTATACACAAGCATTAAATGACCTTTAAAATAAAAAATAAAACATCAGAAGTGACACGATATATTATCCAGTCTCCCTTCAGGACGAAATTAATGGAAGCCCTAGATATTCATTTTATGTCTATAAAACAATTCACATACTTAGAAAACACTCATACAATATTTAAAATAACCTTTGGTTACATTTTATGATTACCTGAGGTAGCATGCGTTTTACGACAGAAACCTATCAGCCTAAACTAACGTGAGTAAACCGTTCAACTCCAATCGTAGCTTTAAAGGACTTTTATGATCGGAACATATGTGGGATGATTATACAGAAAGCGAAGCAATATCTAGCTTTTGAGGAGAGGCCTATCAATCATTTACGTATACTTTTCGAATTAGGTGATGTACATTAGGGTTGATAAATGGTTGCTGACAGAACTTTGAGACACGAAAAACTATGTGCAAACGCTACAATATCCGGTTAAGTTGTTTGTTTGAAGGACACGACTTACCTAAGACGTACGAAGAGTCTGTTACTGATAGGAAGCAAGCATCATCCCCGTAAACCCATTTTGGTGAAATTCTCGTTGAATATTTAGTGTGCTTATTGTCATAACCAGCAACTGCAGTAAGAAGACACAGCCTTACTCTCCTTAAAAACGCTTCGGAGTTATTATTACTTCCCCGAACTTTCGACACAGGACGAAATAGGGAACGAATTTGAGACATTAAACTGCTCATTATTGTATATCCATGAAATTGGCTAAATTGTATCATAAGTTGTTTCTTGCTTAGATAAAAACAAGATAAAACTGATAATAGTGATAGGGCTTTGCAACAAGTTATTCATTTGCAGTGTGAAGGTCGATCCCAAACCATAGTTAACAACTAGTGAGCTAAAACGTAGCTGAAGGCCAAGAACAATTCATCGGAAATGATTATAGTTGGAATGTCTGAACCTCTTTTTAGTTATCAAGACTAAAGTTTCAGAAGCAATTTGTCGATGGTATCTTTAGATGAAGGCCCAATAATTAATAAAGTGAAGTTTGGAAACCAGTTAAAATCAATGTATAGAATAATTGTTGATAACAGTAACACGCATCAGTTGAGATTAGAACACAAGTGATAATTGTAGGCATCGATAAAAAAAAGATGAATCAGACTACCGAATCTGTTAATCCATTAGGGATATCTCGATAGTCCATATGAAAACCCTATAAATTGTTTTAAAAATAAAACGTATTTGAGTAAACAATCACTTTCAATGTTCTTTACTTTTAGCCTTGCGTTCATAAATCGAAAATTAATGTATATAAACTTAGCTTAGGTTTTGTGAGGCATAATTAGATTTCTGTGTATTTCTTAAGGCTTCTTTGTGTAGTGGAAGTGCAGTCTTCGTTCAGATTCACATTCTGACTCATGTACTAAGGAAAGAACACCGGTATATTATGTGTTTTCTGTTTCAGTAAGCGTCTGTGGGTTTCCGGTCCGTTAGTGAACGGTTTAGTTGAGGGTGTGTGCATCATTCTTTCGTGTAATGGGTTCTAAGTGTTAATGACTATGTGTGAAACCAGTCTGCAACGGGTAACTTGTTCGTTCCTGGATAGTAGACGCACTTGGCCATCTTGATAGTTATCAATTAGACTTGGTACTAACCATCTAAAAGGTCTAGGTCTCCCTGGAGTGCACATACCTCCGCACCCTCCATTAATTCTCGCTGCGTATTAACATAACCAGCATAAACTATCACCGGAGACTGTAGTGGACTATAAAATTGGACAGACGATAAAGGACTTACCTTTGACACTTCAAAATGTAAAGTAGTACATCTTCGACATGTTGCAGACTACAGTTACAACGTAAGAAACTCTTCCTTAGTAGTATCCTGAGTCGAGAAAGATTTAGGAGTCATGATACCCTACAATTTGAAGCCTTCCGTGGAAGAAAAAATTTCTGACTGTCGGATCGAACAAGCGATATTGATCAATATTTGCGACACGATACTCAATCAACGCACACTTTTTCTGATACCGGCCTGATTAGTGTACGGTTCTACTATACTGAAGAGGATTTTAGAAGACATTACTCCCATGCACAATCCCTCATTTCGATTAGATCACTACAGCACGATCTACAGATTTTGTTCGATTTTACGTTTAATTTGCTTATCTATGCTTTCGGGTTAATGAAACACGTACCACAATTCGTTTGTCATGACATTCCTCGCTATACATAATCGTCCCTCAAAGTCACGTTATTATTTCTGATAACTTGCCCCAACGTGTCAGTCAAGTGTAGTTGCAACAACACTTAAAAGATAGATCAAAGCCTGCCAATCGAGTATTATATTTAGTACAAAGGTGAAGGCTGCAGTGATCATGCCTACTTGGCTGAGGCATGCATTTTCAGCAATGTACATGCGTCAGCACTTTGACCTTCACTATTTCACATAGATCATTCAATGCTCACTGTTCAGTCGTTTAGCGCAGAAACAGTTCAGCCCGATGGATGGTTGACGTTGAGGATTCAGTATTATTCTACAATCACCACAATGTCGTATGAGATATTAATTTGTTTTTTCATCTCTTGAGACAACTTGTAGCCAAAACGAGGTTTTCCGAAAAAAATGAACATGGTAGCATATACATCGACCCAATCAAATAAAGAATTATAGATGAACATGCCAGTTTATTCATTTGTGCCACGACGATTTCAGACCGTTATATAATGATTATGTCAAGATATGGAGAGTGGTAAAAAGTAAGGGTGACAGCTCAGAGCTTCAAAATGACCTAGAGAAATTATTTGAATGGTCTTAGACTTGACAGTTGCCGATAAATATTTCCAAGTGCATTGTGTTGCATATTGGTCACTAACGTACTGGTACATACGTGTTGAATAACATTGAGCTACCTGTTGTCCAGACACACAATGACTTAAGATTCACCGTTAACCAAGTATTAAAACTACTGCCCACTTCTATGCGATAGCCACCAAACGTTTTAGAACGCTATGATCAATACTTAGGGCCTTTAGCGATTTCGGTGCTTTGAAACTGACTGAACGTTTAGTATAGGTACAGAGGACCTCATCTAAGCTGATCCCTGTAGTATCGAAGCTCATATATGATGCTCTACTGACTAAGCTAAACCTCTTCCCGTTTTCATATCGAAGAACTAGAGGTGACTTGATTACAGCTTTCACCTTACTAAGTTGTCAACTTGCATCTCATATGCACTCACTTTTCTTGTCTTCCAAATCAGGGAATTTACTAGAACACTCCAAAATATTTACAAGCCCAGGACAAATTACTTGTCGTCTGACTATGTACTTTCCATCAAATTATCTGCGAGTGAAACTCATTACCTCAACACGTGATTGAAGCTCCATCTGTTCACACTTACAAAAGAAAGTTGGATCAACTGAGAGCTCTCAGTTAGTGGTGAAGATACCACAGATATTCGGAGTTTGACAACGCTTTAACCAGTAACACCTATTATGAAGCGTGCCCACCAAGTGAAATCAAAAGACAGAAGCGAGGAGATCGAAGATATATTTGATAAGCTGTCAATATATCGAGGGTCGTTTGAACTAATCTGGCTAGCGATTGCGGCAGATGTTCATCACGGCGTACTCACACGTGATCTGGTGCAGATGCTTGACCGAGCGCCGTCAGCTAGATGAGTCCACTAAAACTGTGGTCAGCATCCAATGTCGAAAACTTACAGAGCTATTTATTTTGGGGATTTATTTACCGCTAGAGTGGTCTAAACCACCATGACTAACAAAGGCCGCCTAACCTCATGTCCCTTCCAAACTGAATCTGAAACTGATATTTGTAGTGTTTTCAATTAGTGGACCGTGATAGGAAATCAGTTTGCTCTTCATAATTGACAGCATGAAATATCCCAACCTATTTCAAGTTAAGCGTACTACTAGTAATGATTTCACTCATGTATTTCTTCATGTAACGGCCTCCAAACAGACCAACTTTTTGTCTGAAGGTCAAAGGTAACGGGCGTGTATTGAGTTTTGAAGTGATAGTGATCGTAACCTGGTTTTAGATTTTTGCAGTTTTTCTGTCCGAAACATTGGTCGTTTTTAGGCTTTACCAAAAACTTTCCTTATGGTACTAAGTTTAAATGTGTATCCGGATACAAACTAATAATTTCACTGAGCTGCAGTAAAGCACTCCTAAAAACATTTGTTACGACACCATGCTGCGTATTTTCCTCCACAGTATTATCGCAAATTAGACGAATTACAACTTAAGCATTAGTACATACTCAGGTAATTCTGAAAAAAATGTTGGACAAGCATAACAGCCTTCAGTCACTCATGTAGAGCACCAAATATATCATATATATGTATCAGTTCAGGTCGCAGCGCCACTTTACTTTTATAAGACCAATCCCATAGTAATAGTAACTATCGGTGGTGATAGAGGTTAGGGTAGGTATAAGTATTTTTACATGAGAATCCTGAAAATCATGTACACCCATGGTCTGTATTATAAGAAGTACCCTTACATGTGTAGTAAGCTAGTGACATTTGTGTATTAATGTGGTTTCTATGTACCGGTAACTACAGAACTCTTCTGGTTTTTGTAAAAACCGCGAACATATGAACTTTTAAAGGTGTTTGGAATTATCTCGCATGTATTGATTTGACATCATACTCTGTAGGTCAATTATTAAGTAACGACTGTAAATTACCGAGTTCCTGATAGCGAATTATTTTTTTCATGTATTGATAGTATGATTTTGAGACCTAAAAATTTAGGAGCTATCATTATTTTAGTGCATTGTACGTAGGTACGGAAGATCTAATATGTAAATAAATCTCCAGTGTTTCCATATTTTAAATTCCGACTAGCCTGTACATTTCTCTTAACTTACGACATTTTCATTTAAATTGTGTTGTTCACACGCTTTGTTTCTCAACTATCATTCACAATGCACTACCTCTCAGTTCACTCTATTCTCAACTACACCAACTACCTGGCTAGCCACAACTAATCCTGTTACACATTTTTCAGTTTAGTGTCTTGATTCTCTCTCTCTCTCTTTCTTTCTTTCTTTCTTTCTTTCTTTCTCTCTCTCTCTCTATATATATATATATATATATATATATATATTCTGAACGTATATGTGGAGTCTTATATTTGAAAGTGACATTTTGTGATCATAAACTTGTGTCTTTTTAAGCTCTTCCAACACATTTTCTAAACATGCAAGTAACTCTTAGTTATAACCATTTATAATTTTTTGTATATTGGCCGTTAGTGTATTTATGTTTTAGTCACTTTTTAACGAGGGTCTGCCACCGGATAGACTCGCTGCTGCCGAAAGAGAATCCAGGCATATTTATTCGATTAGGCACTGTAGTATATGCATTGATTGAAAACCCAACTATATCGGGTCAGTGATCGGTCTCCCATGTAGGTGGTTTCATTCAACCGTATTAGAAATATCATTCGGTTTTCGTCCGGGCCATGAGAGAGATTTTCAGTTGGTGGTGGAGTCTCATTACTAAACAACTCGCTGATATAATAAATCACAAAAAGGCAAGTAAACTTGCCAGATAATACTGATTGAAACTTGGTTCCGTAATCAATAGTCAGTGTAAAAGAGACGCCGAAAATAGAAATCAAGTAGTCCAAAAAATGAAGGAAACAGTTTATACATAGGCGTTGGTATTAGAACATTCAATAACCCATTAAATGGGATGATCAATGGGAAGATCACTAAACTATTAAGAAAACAAAATTGTATTGTGATTTAAATATTGTTGGAAGAAAAGATTTGTGTGTATATGGTACCCTCGTTAAATGATTCCTCACAGTCTGGCAGACTACTTCAGCTTGTGTACATCAACATCGTATGACCGCCACCAACATTAAGACCTTTATACACACATTTACATTATTTATTTATTAATAGTCATTAATAGCTTAGTGATCTTCGGTTATCATTTTGCTTATGAATTTCCAATTATTGTGTTTATTTTAAACCAGCTAGACTTATTAGCTTGGACGTTGCTAAATATGAGGCAACGAAATGTAGTCAATTCGCCATACTTTGCAAACGTTTATTTATGGTCAACAATAATACACTTTTGGTGTAATGAGTAGAAAATTGAATTTCTGACTTTCTGCAGCTTAACATAATTCACGTCTTTAGAGAATAAATAAATGACCGAAATTAATTGACGTGGTTGTGAAGAAAAAAACGTAAAACACTTAGTTTAATTAAAAAGCAATCCATCTGGTGCTCAGTTTATTTGAAATTATCGAGTTACATTTCGCTAGTGACATTTAATAACTAATACTATGCTAAAAAAGTATCACTAAACACTAAATGATAGCCAATAGAAGTGTATTTGTTGGTATCTATTGGTGAAGCCTATATTTATCTAAAAAATATTTTCCAAGAGCGAATTTCGTACTGATGTGTTACACTTTAGTGTATATTCTTATAGTGTTAATGAGTTGTAGTTTTACTTGTGTAACAATTGATAATGTATTTTTTAATTTCCATTTTGCAGAGGCGTATATTTACAACTTTTATCAGATGAATTATGACTATCTCAGCTCACCACAAAAAAAAGAAAGATTCAACATCGCGTAAGTTCCTTTTTTGTCGATTTGCTCTTCACGTTACTACTTATAAGGTTGGAAGTCGTTGTTGGCTTAGCATTTTATAATCGCGATATTTCTTGATAATCTTTTTTTAAGTGTAAAAATAAATGGGTGAACATCGTTCCTAACTGATATTAACTGCTTGTTTGGATTATATGCTTAGGAATTGTGACAAGAAAGGAAACAAAGATAACAGGTGAATATTTATCATTCAGCACAAATAAGCTAAGATTCATGTCCGAATACATTGGGTTTTTTAAATGTGTTTTACATGTACTGATCGATAGTTGAATTCGAATTAATTAGACTGGGTGGTAACATACATTATTTGTCAATAAGTTGGTATTTTACAATTTCATAAAACCGACTAATCAACAATTATAACTAATTTACCATGTTAAACGACTATTATTCCTTAAAACTTAATAATTTATATATTTTTTTACTGTCCTTGTGCTTTGATTTTCACTGTGTTAACTAAAACACCAGCCTTTAACATGTATTTTTCTGTAGTAATGACATGCAGTTTTCGGAGTTTTAGTAAAAAACTGACCAGCGGAATTCAACCGCTTTGGGTGTGTGGCAGTTACCAAGAACAATGGAAGATGCTTGCGCAATATCGTAAATTTACTGAATTTAGTTGTCTAAACCAATAGTCAAAAGGTTAAGCTCCTGTCGCGAGACTTGAAGGCCCTGGGTTCGACCTCACATTGCAAGGTCGTGAATGCACACTATTGAGGATTCCCACACTAGGGTGAGACAACTACTCAGTGTTTTCTGCTTTTCATTAGTTGTCTAACTTGATTTCAATAACATGACAATCTCCACAAATCCTCATAGTGGTAATTTCTGAAGACGGACTTCGATAAATGTGCAGGAATAAGCTATATGCGATCTATCGGGATCAAAAATGATTTAGTTATTAAGTTAACTGTGTAGCTGCTGATGTACAGCCTTTGTGTTATTTTCTTTTTACAAATACATATAAAATTTATAAATTAACATGCAAAAGGATGATAATCAACTACCAACATCCGATGAATTCAACCGATTGAAGCCAATATAGATTATTATGGGTCGAATAATCAAATCATCTCCATGAAATGATTCAGGGATAGCTTTAATCACTAATTGATATCAACTAATGAAGTACTGAAAACCTGGAAGGAGGACTTATGACTATTGTGTCGTCCTGGTTCATAACTCTTTAACAGTGAGCATCCACAGTTCCACTCTGAATCTAACCCGGACCTTTTGCATACCTTTTGAACACAGTTGAGACTTGATTATTTGTACTTTAAATTGTCATTTTACTGGCGAAACATGAGCAGGATTTCAAAATAGGACGAAACAGTTCATTCCACTATTTCTAATGTAGCTGTAAATCGTATAAATTATTCGTTTTCACAAAGTTTTACTTTGGTTGTGTAACCATTTAAAACTTCCTTCATTAATTTGAAGTGCGATCATTTGGAAATTCTTTGTCAAATCGACGTTCAGAGTTCGGTGAGCAATTAAGCTTAGATAAGAATAAAGCTGCAATTCTTACGTCTATTTATTGAGAGTCATTTCACTGAGGATAAAAGTAATCTTAATGTCTCATAAATGTGTTCCGATTTACATTTCAAAATATGTCAACTTGAATTTATCGTCATGACCATTTAAATATTCTTTTTCAAGGCTGTTTTCTCATCTGATTTTACATCAAATTTCACTACGTTTTCATCCCCAATGTTTTGCAATCTACAATATCCTTCGTTTATAGTAGATTTTGATGGGATCATATTTTCACGGAGTTTATCATTAAAAAAGTGAAACAAACAAGTTTTCTATGCCTGACGGTTAATAACACTAATCAGTTTCTCAAAATTAAGTGGACTCGGGTTCGAACCTGCAAATCAATGGTTAACAGTTAAGTACGTTTTAGTCACTAAAACACCACTCATTATTTTCAACAATAAAAATCATTTTGCTCATAAATCATTATTTATGATTATGTTAGAATTCGGTTTTTTTATTTTAGCATGGTATCAGATTTTTGTTACCCGAATGTTGGCGGTGTAGAAAGTCATATTTTTGCTTTATCTCAATGCCTTATTCGACGTGGTCATCGAGTTATTATAATCACTCACTCTTATGGTTCTGAAGGTGGTCAGCGTCAAGGTGTAAGATATTTGCCACGTGGACTTAAAGTGGGTGGTTGTAATTTGGTTTTGCTTAATTAAAAAAAATTATTTTAGGTCTATTATATTCCAATACAACCGTTTTATAAACAATCAATTTTCATCACAGTTCTGGGCACATTACCAATAATTCGTGAAATAGTAATACGTGAACAGATTGATATTGTACATGGACATTCAGTATGTTTATAATAAATTTAAAATATTTTGTTAGTTAATGTTAGTTAATCTTTCAAATAGGCTGGCATCTTCTTTTAATATATGTCGTTTATGGACAGCAACATATGAACCTTATGTACTCTAGCCTTTCATAGATATATTCTTAGTTATAATATGAATATAAAGCAAATATGGATAGTAGCTAGCAGTGAAATCCAGGACGTGCGTATCGTCCTATTTGAGACAGGTCAGCTGGATGTACCTACATCTCAGAGTTGATGTTCACTCTGGGACTTGAACCCAGTACCGTTCGCTTCACACGCCATCACGTTATCCACTTAGCTACTGAGTCGTGATAGCCACTTGCTTGTGCGATGGGGTGAAATTTAAATTAAATTCTTATTGTTCACTTGAATCTTCCCATTTCTGTTTAGGACTGCAATCCAGGACACACGTTTCGTCTTTTCTTATAATGCTTATGAATTAAGGCAATATGCACAGTATGCACACATGCCAATAAGAGACTGATAAATTGCAGTCCTAAACATCAGCTTAAGCGCAAGCTGACAAGAAGCCTACGCAATGTTTGCAAACAGTGGTGGGTAGCGAAAGCAAGAGAGATGGAAAAAGTAGCGGCAATAGGCAATAGCAGACAACTGTTCAGACTTGTTAAGGAAACCGGTATTAGGAACCCGACCGTCAGCGCAACAATCTCAGAGAAAGATGGACATATTATACATTCTCAACCCAGGAGATTGGATCGATGGGGAGAACACTTTAGGGATCAGTTCAACTGGCCTTCAGCCACACTTCGGTTTCCCACGATCCCCAGTCGACCTGAATGGCAAGTTGATGTAAGTCCTCCGTCTCTTTACGAAGTTGAAAAAGCTATAGGAAATCTGAAGCATGGGAGAGTAGCAGGCCCTGACAGGTTTACCCTTGAGATGTTTAAGGATGGTGGTCTAGTATTAGCAGCGAGATTGACTGAGGTCTTAGGTAGAATCTGGGAACTGGACGTAATCCCATCTGACTGGTCTCAATCACTGATTGTGCCAGTCTATAAGAAAGGACAAAGGAAGTCTCATCAGCCCTTGTGGTGTGGTGTGTGAAGAAATCTCAGCACGGACACAGAAGGCTCGACTAGCTTTTGCCAACTTGCATCATTTGTGGTGTAGTCGAGATATCCGTCTATCAACCAAAGGACGTGTTTACTGCGCAGCAGTTCGTTCCGTCCTACTTTACGGTAGTGAAACATGGCCGATAAGAGTAGAGGATATTCGTGGGTTACTAGTATTTGATCATAGGTGTCTTCGAAATGTTGCTCGTATATCCTGGGAGCACCGAGTAAGTAATACAGTTGTTAGGAAACGGTTACTAGGTAAGGATGGCAAATCAATTGACGAAGTAGTAAAAATTCATCAGTTGAGATGGCTTGGACACGTGTTACGTATGCTCAACCACCGACTGCATCGACGTGCGATGTTTTATGGAGTAGGAGTAGGTTGGAAGGAAGCTAGGGACGGCCAGATCAAAACATGGCACAAATCCATGAAGTCACTGACAAGTGGACTGAGTCATGTTGGTAGGTGTGGACTACCTGCTTGTGATCCGCGAGATGATAGCAACCGATGGTTAGAGATCTTGAATGACATGGCTCAAAATCGTCTGCAATGGCGTAGGTGCATCCAATCTTTGTGTTCTCCAAAATTCTAATCTTCTGAATTCTTCATGTCCTTTTCTTTTTTCTCTTTCCAAATTTATTTCACTGTATTATACTCATTGAATAACATCTTCAAACCCTAATGCTTCCGATTACTGCTTATACTTTTACTACCTCTATCACTACGGGATTTGAATCGACAACTGCATCTCTGTGCTAATGTGGTATGGCAACTCGAACTGATGTATGTACGTACGAAGTTTCACGTTGTTTCTGACTGACTGACTGACCATACTACCCAGAGCGTTCGACCTCTTTTCTAGCTTATCACAAGATTATTGTCTTATATGTCCAGTCATCAGGTATAACGTAGGACTAGGCACATATTTGCATCGGTCCAAGTTGCCATACCGCATTTGCACAACAAGATGAACACCGAATTCATAGAAGCAGTTAACTCAATGGTGTGATATATAAAGGAAAGATTGCATATAAGGATATACTACAGGAAAAACGTTAGTTCGTAGAAAGAGAGATATGAAATAATTTTAGTCTCATAGTTCAATGGAAGACAAAGAGTGTATACACCGACGCTACTGTGATCGATTCTGAGCCATGTCACCAAGAGTCTCAAACCATTGGTTACGATAGTCACGCGGACCCCAACCAAGTAGTCTGCATCTACCAACATAGCTCAGACTAGAAGTTATTGACTTCAAGCTTTGATGCCACGTTTTGGTTTGGCCGCCCCTAACTTTCTCCCAACTATCCTCAACACCAGTTAGCATTGCGCGTGGTGGTGATCGGCATACGTAACACGTTTCCCAACCATCTCAGTTGATGAAGATTCACAATCTCATCAACTGATTTACCGTCATTCCCTAATACCCTGCGTCTAACCTCACTGTTACTTACCCGATGATCTCAGCAAATGCGAGCAATATTTGTTAGACGTCTGTTGTCAAATATTACTGGCTTACGAGTATCTTCTACTCTTAAAGGCCACGTTTCGCAGCCGTAAAGTTGAACAGAACGAGCAGCTGCGCAGTATACTCGTCTTTTAATTGATAGACGGATATCTCGCCTTCGCCATAGATGACGTAAGTTGGCGAAAGCCAAACGAGCTTTTCGAATCCGTGCTGAGATTTCGTCAGACACCAACCCATTAGAGCTGATCAGACTTCCAAAATAAGTGAAATTGTCAACGCGTTCACCATTATCTGTTCGCTGAGCCGAAACACCAAAATACCCACCTAAGTGTCTTTCTGTTTGGTTTAAGCTACCTACTTGGGCATTAAAGTCACCTGGGACAAGTACTATGTCTGAGCGTTTAGCTTTCTGAAGAAGTTCAGAAAGCTTTCTGTAAAAGTCATCCTTAACTTCATCCGAGCTGCATTCGGTGCGAGCGTAGGCAGAAACGACGAAAAGGCAACGACGTGTGTCCCTGTTCTTTCGAGTTCTTACGGAGCCGTTAAGCCGAACAGCGCACAAACGACTGTTGACGGGGATCCACTCTGAAAGTGCTTGTTCCGCTCTCGTACTTAGTGCTATGCCTACACCTGCTAGTCCACGAGAAATAGCCATCGGGTCGCCAGATACACGGAGGGTGTATCTCGTCGGCTCTCCGTTTCGCCGATGTGAGGTCAAGTGAATGACCACTCTAGGATCCTGTATGCCTGTTTCGGAGACACAGCATATATTATTCGTACGAGATTCTAGAGTCTCAGCCAAGGACGCCTGCTGGCCGATTTGACATAGGGTGCGTACGTTGAAGGCTTCAATATGTATTTTGGAGCGAGGTTTCAGTAGACCTGGGACAGTGTTTTGCTCACTAGAATCGTTGGTCATGGTGATACTTAGGAGGAAGCCAAAAGAGGAAGTTTAGTGTATAAAGTCGATGTAGGAGGAATAATAGGGACTGAAGAAAGAAGTTGATTATGAATATAGTGGTCTTAAGTGCTGTTAGAGATGTAAGTGGCGGTTATCACTTTCCGGTTGCCCATACTGTGGAAGGGTTCTTCTGGAGGTACCTGAAAAGGAAATTGGATTAAAGGTGGTCTTAATGACCTGAGAACGTGACCGCAGTGCCCAAAGGACAATTGCTTGAGGTCGGTCACACACGACCTTTTTGTGAGTAATTTTCGTGTTAGCTCCGTACTTGGTGAGACCTTACTGCTGGAGGCGAAAATCCCTGGGATAAGGTGAGGTGTACATTTTCAGGGTCGACCTTTTCAAACCCCACCCCTACTTGTGGGAAGGCAGCATCGCCCGACCACCACGTCAAGGTAGCCACAACGGTCTTATATGTTGGTTCCCGAGGGTTAAACGACAAGAGTATTGTACAGATTCATGCGATTTTGTTTCATCAGTCTATGTAAATTATTGACCCTCTTTTATCTTTCTACAGAGAGACGTAATAGGTTGACTTTTGGACTTTGGAAAATTCACTTAGAGCATCATGATTTCTCGTAAGGACAGTTTCCTTTTCAGAAACTTAACACAGAAGTGCTGTTATTAATTAACAAAAGCTAGATACGTATTTTGTCCAATAAATACACGAACTGAAATAGTAAAACTCATTTTACAGAATTTAGGGTACATTAATCATGTTCATTGAAAAAACATTTCCTATTTATAGAAATACACTTATCCCATCTCCGCTCCTATTGTTTAAAACATCTTTAGACGTCCTTAGAATTAAGCCATTTCAATTATGTCCTTTTTTCACGTCGTATTGTTTTCACACAATCATTTTGAACTTCGGGGATAAAAAATAAATCTCAAAGGGCTTGGTTCGGTAATTAGAGAAGAGGTTCGAATTACTGGGCATAAACTGGAGAATAACCACAGCTGAATATGCACGTACACAGTCCCGTACGTATAAGACAGACTATGCTTTTCTAAGATCAAGATAACTTTCATCGGTTAGCTAATTTAAGACAGAACACCAAGGTCAGACTGACCCGAATCGATGGATGTTTATGTTCAGTACGATTGGTCGTTTGTTCAGCTTCGTCCAAAATCTGGGTAGCCCAATTTGCGTATTTTTTGGACTGACCACATAGTCTGTCAAATGTCGAGATGCTCTATAACAGCCTAGATTTTTGGAATTATCATATAAAATATAGTCTTATAACCTATTTATCATTTGAAGTCACTGTTCCCTGAAGTAACAAAGACCTATTGGTTATTCATTTAACACTTGATGTAATCATACTACCCAAGTCAGCGATACCATGTCGCAACTTAATTTTACTTTTCGATGTGTAACAACTTTAACAAACTGTAATATGAAAGATTTGAATTAAGATATAACAACGTCTTTTGGGATTGTACGCCCCAGTTACACAATCTATGCATCTTCTTCCATCGGTTAACAAAACATTTACAAAACACGAAATTTGCAACCTCATTTTAGAATGCATATATATGGTAAAAATGTGTAATGCCTGTACTACTTTTCTTCCTCGTTATAGATATTTTCGCCTTTAGCCTGTGAAGCTGTAATTCATGCACAGAGCCTTGGCTGTCGAACTGTTCATACAGAGCACTCACTTTTTGGTTTTTCAGATTTGTCAGCAATAATTATGAATAAAGTAATGGAAGGTGTATTTACAGCTGTAGATCAAGTGATCTGTGTTTCACATACTACCAAAGAAAATGTAGTTCTTCGAGCTAAATATGATCCTGATCGAGTTTTTGTAATTCCTAATGCAGTGGATGCCTCTGCGTTTATTCCTGACCCGTCTTGTCGTGATCCTAATTACGGTTAGTAATTTGTTTGGATGCTTTGATAAAGTTTACTTTTGTACCTTTGAATACTACTTGAGTTCTACTTTTAAATTTCACGTTACACATCCATAGCAAACGTTTGCTCATTATATCCGTTCTTTGTTTGTAAACACATTCTTGATTACGCCAAAAGTTGACACAAATTAGAAAAAGTTATCGAGCTCTCTGGATCCATGCTAAGATTTTGTCAGGCATCAGACCACCAAAGCCGACGAGACAAGTCAAGTGGTCAACAAAATCAACTAATTCACTCCCTATGATTAATCTAGAGAAATTACTCAAACCAGTCCTAGAACATTATTTTGAGTTTAAAAACTCAGACGAACCATAATTGGGCTGTTTGTCAAAGGAACCATAAGACTGCACTTTGTCGGTATCCTTATACACAACTGTGTCACCTGCACATTGTGAGTCGATAAATGAACCGCCTGGTTAGAGGTCAATCACTATAAATTTAGAAGAAAGCACTATTTCTTAAAGAGTGTATGTGACAAAAATAAAGCTGAGCCATGTTGGTAGATGCAGACTACTTGGTTGGGGTCCGCGTGACTATCGTAACCAATGGTTGGAGACTCTTGGTGACATGGCTCAGAATCGATCACAGTAGCGTCGGTGTATACACTCTTTGTCTTCCATTGAACTATGAGACTAAAATTATTTCATATCTCTCTTTCTACGAACTAACGTTTTTCCTGTAGTATATCCTTATATGCAATCTTTCCTTTATATATTACACCATTGAGTTAATTGCTTCTATGAATTCGGTGTTCATCTTGTTGTGCAAATGCGGTATGGCAACTTGGACCGATGCAAATATGTGCCTAGTCCTACGTTGCAGCTGACTGACTGACAAGGATAAAGATGGGGGAAGTGGATGATAAAGGTTGAATGAAGAATGGACTGGAATAATTTGTTATCACGGTTTTCCTACCAATAATAGTTTCTTCAGAAATCTTTGTGATTAAGTTTATTCAAATTCAAATATATGCACTTAATGTAACTTTTTTTTCCAGTTACTATTGTTGTGGTTTCTCGTTTAGTTTACCGGAAAGGTCTTGATTTATTGGTTGCCATCATCCCGTCATTATGTTCTCTGTTTCCAGAATTAAGATTTCTTATAGGTATGTTATTTGCTTTTTAAATACTTTTCATAATATTCTTTTTATCCATTCGTCCTAGAAAATCTAATCTGATTGACTGATTTATGGTAAATAAAAATATATAATAAGTTATCACTTTTCATATCCTATCTAAAATACATCATCCGAATTTTATAAATCTGATGAAAACAGTTCGCTCGTATTTAATATTAGGAAATTTTTTCCGATGTAGCCATTAATATTTCCCAAATTCCTACTGATTTGTAAATGTGATCAGTGGTGATGAGACTGAAAATGAATATTGGGAATAATCTGTTTGTTCAAGACTATCATATATTAGGGAAATGATTGTTAAAGTCACTTGCTTTACCGAAATTAAAGTACCAGATGCATCTGAAAAGATTTTTTTCAGCTTGTGCCGACCATCCGAAAAATAAAGTTTAATTTCTGTAAAATATTGTTTCGTGTGGACAAACATACCTCTTGCACATCTCCATCTTTGAGGTCCTATGCAAATATGAATAATGTGTAATCAGGTTTTGTAACTGTCTTTATTTGTTGTTCCAAGTCATCACTAGGGTCGGGTAGTGTTGTCCGACTTCTCCATTTCTCGCTTACACCACCATTTATGACATTTTGGGAACAGTGCTGAAGGTGGTAAGTAAAAACTCTCGGTAATGTGACATTTTTATTTTGCGATTACATACATGTTACCTAAATTATATTTAAGTAGCTTGATCAGTGTTCATAATTATATAGCTTCTCATCAATACATTTCAATAGTCGTGTGCAAGATTGTCAAGGGAACTAGTTGATTTTGTTACTTGGTAACAAACATTTGATGTTTTTGCACTAATGGTATTGTGACAGAAGAGATTGGTTTTTGGATAGCTAAAGTTGCATATGTCTGTCCCGACTATTTTGATTAATTTCATGACAAGCTTGATCAGCAGTCAGATTTTTGAAGCACCTAATTTGACTTACAACTTCAAAACATTTTTTAACCAAACTGATGGTATTCTATGAATCCGTGTGCTTTTAAATCTCTGTCGCTGCAGCATCACTTGCCTTTCTAAGATTACCATTCGAATAACACCGACTAATGTTTTAAGATGGCGATTATTTTTTTATGATTTTAGGTGGTGATGGACCTAAAAGACTTGAACTAGAAGAGTTACGCGAACAGTATCAATTACATTCACGTGTAAACTTATTAGGAGGTTTAAAACCTCATGAAGTTCGGCCTGTAAGTCGTTACGTAGCAACGTTTATTTTTCGTGGTTTGTGTTCTTGTGGTTCAACACTTTCTATTATGTAAGTTCTATATTCTAGAGAGACAAAGACCTAGATACTTACAAACTAATATTTTGTATTCGTACATCAAAAATGATTTTACTAAGCAATTCTATTAAATGTTTCTTCCAGTTGAATATATTATTCACTTTCAGTAACTAGCGCGAATTGGGAAATAAGATTGTTGACCCGTTGTTGTTGTTGCTGTGATAACGGGAAAAAAGAAGAGAGAATTTCGCGATTGTGAAACCATTTAAACGTATTGTTTATTAGTACACATTTTGCAAGCAAACAAAATCCAAACTTTGTGTGATACCTTTATGATACTATATGCTCTGCTTTGTGTTCGAAATTTAACCATTCCAATCCAGTCTATTGTAGTAAGGGCCACTATAATTCCCAATGATTTTAACATTTCCGAAGACATTAGAAATATAAATGTTGACTAGAACACTTGGTGAATCGAAGGTATATTGTTTTCTAAAATATTGTAATTGTAGACATTTTTGGCTTGTAAATTGATACTATTCGTTTGCTTAAGTGAGCTTCACTACCGTTTCTCTGATATTACCAGCAGCCCAGTTCAATATTTAACAGTATCATAATAATCGAAAACTAAAGCTAATGAAAACTGGAAATCTTTTAAGATCATGTAGTTAGTTCATTGCTAAGATAAACCACTATTGTTGAAGTTAGTACTTTTAACCGGCCGTTATCTATGTTGCATTGTAGTTTGTCTTCCATATTTATTTACGTTGTTCTGACTTGTTTTAAATGTGACTTCTTCCCGAAACGTCAACTAAATAATCTTATTCTCTGTTTTCCCCATCTTGAATAACTTTGACTCATATAATTCACAACTTAACTAAATATAGTTGATATTCAGCTTTTTATTTTATTTATTCCGTACCCTTCAATTTTTGTGTATCGTGTACAGCCCTAATAGAATTCAGAAGGGATAATCATGACAATGACAAAATCATCTAGGTACCTGCGGCCTGTTCGAATTTCTGGGTCACCGCAAATGTTGATTTATTCCCATAAAATTTCCTGTTTCAAATTTTGTTTTACTTATAATCACATTTGATAACCGAGTTTGCTTAAGGATTAGAGTGACATATATATATATATATATATATATATATATATATATATATATATATATATATATATATATATATATATATATATATTTGTACAAAGAAAACACTAAACTCATTACAGGACTTCTTTTTTGACTTTCTCGTTTTTCTTCAGCTTTTAATACAAGGTGATATCTTTCTAAATACTTCTCTTACTGAAGCGTTTTGTATAGCGATTCTTGAAGCAGTCTCATGTGGGTAAGTAGTTTAAAAATTCGTTCACTCTCGAGGAGGAATTAAAATACTTGCAACTTTATTATTTACCACCGTTCTTCTATGTACAACCGTTTTGACTGTAGTTATTATGACAAAAATTTGGAATCCGCTCAACGTTAAGACAATGAATAATTATCTCTCCATGGTCTATATTTCGCTTTTTGGAGGCCTTTGGCTCATAGATAATTATTATAAGCATAGGTGGTTGTAATTTAAACTCTTTTCACATATTTTTGTGAAACAAAATCTTTGTGATAGATTTAAAGTTAACGTTTAACTCATGAGGCCACAGATTCTAATACTCGTCACCCACTTTGATCGACCGATCGGATGGAGAGTACTTTTATTGATTATGCTATAATTGTAGCCGAAACTCAAGTGCAGGAACCTTGAACTAATGGCTAATTTGTATTTGGTATATAATTTAATTTTATAGCATTTCTACACGATATTTTAAATAACATCATTCATGTCATCGTGAAGTTAGTTTCCAAATATCTGTTTATTGTGTTTTCGTAACGTATATCTGAATCTGATATTCTTCAGAAAAATTCGATTACACTTAATGCTACATATAATTGTTAATAAGGAACTATCTTAATTGGATATTACCTTTGTAATCATGGATATATTTTCTGTATAGTTTAACAGTCTTCATTGTTCTATCAAAGCAGCACACACAGACCTTCCCATAGCTGTCACTCCACCAACGATCGAAGAATTCAGCTTGACCACCAGACAAATTAAGAGTGGAAAAGCAACAGGACCTGATGACATACCAGCAGAAGCACTATAGTCAGACATAGAGGCAATTGCAAACATGCTCCATGTTCTATTCAGGAAGATTTGAGAGGAAGAACAAGTGCTACCGACATACTGGAAAGAACGGTATTTCATCAAGATACCATAAAAGAGATCTGAGTAAATGTGTGAGCTACAGAGGCATCACACTACTATCGGTACCAGGAAAAGTTTTCAACAGAGGTTTGCTGAACCGGATGAAAGATTCAGTAGACGCATAGCTTCCAGATCAACAAACCGGATTCCCTAAGGATCGTTGGTGCACAGGCCAGATCGCCAAACTATGGATCATTGATGAACAATCGATTGAATGGAACTCGTCACTATACATCAATTTCCCTGAATATGAGAAAGCGTTTGACAGCGTGGATAGGAAAACCTTATGAAAACGTCTTCGACCCTATGTTGTATCTAAGAAGATCATCAACATCATACCGAATTCATACGACAGATTACAGTGGAAAGTCGTGCATGGAGGACAGCTGACAGACCCATATCAAGTGAGGACCCGAGTCAAACAAGGCTGCTTACTCTCCTCCTTTCTTTTTCTTCTGGTGGTTGACTGGGTCATGAAGACCTCCACACCTGAGGGGAAGCACGGAATACTATGATCAGCTTGTATTTATTATTTATTTATTTGAACACATAAATATTGGTACAGGGGGCACCAAATATATATGCGCCACACAAAACAATGATAATTTGAAGAGAAGGAGAAAAGAGAGAAAAAAAAGTAATGAACGTGGGGAATTATAAAAAAAAAAGAGAGAGGGAGAACAATGGTGGTGGAAACGGAAAGGTACAATCAGAAGAGATCTTTCAGTTAAGGAAGATACAACCACTTTTTATGAGGAAAGTAAAAGAAGGGTACAGCAGGATCGCCACTGGCTTCTATTCTGAGCCATATCTGATGACGTCTCTAGCCACTGCGTTACACCGTCTCTCGGACCCCAACCAATGAGTCGTGAAGGACCAACAGAAGCTAGCCCTTTGCAGCTTTCTTTCATACCTACCATATCATACCAAAAAACGTGGTATGATCAGCTTGAATGTAACTAGACGAGTTTAACTTGACAGGTGACCTAGCCTTTCTATCTCATACACACGAACAAATGCAGGTGAAGGCAACTAGTGTAGCGGCGGCCTCTGCATCACTAGGCCTCAACATACACAAGGGAAAAAGCAACATCTTCAGATACAACACAGAGAGCCCCAAACCAATCACTTTTGATGGAGAAACTCTGGAAGAGGTGTACATTTTCACGTACTTGGGCAGCATCGTTGATGAACAAGGCAGATGTGATGCAGGTTTGAAGGTAAGGATTGGCAAAGCAAGGACGGCATTCCTTTAGTTGAAGAACATAAGGAATTCAAGACAACTGCCAACCAATATCAAAGTCAGAATCTTCTATACGAACGTCAAAACAAATTTAATGTATGGAGCTGGAACTTGAAGATCAACTACAACTATCATCAAAATAGTATGGGTCCTTGTAAACAATTGTGCATGCGGGTTACTTCATGTTCTGTGGTTGAATAGCATCAGCTACAGCCTACTGTGGGAGAGGATAGACAAGCTTCCAGCTGAGTAGGAAATTAAGAGAATATGCCATATCACTGCTTCCCCCAACTTGCATAGTTTAATTCACTTATCGATGTCACATTGGTAAATATCTCTTACGGTTTAATCTATTTTAAAACTTGGACTTTTTATGTAACTTAGAACTCAAACGTATAAGATTGATTAATTGTAGATTTTCTTGTAAGATATGCCATAATTTATTCAGCTAATCTGTGTCAATTAATTGTATTGAAAAATTTTCTTACAGCTTAATGGTTATCAGTACAGCTGTTGGGGGACTTCCCGAAGTTTTACCTGAGCATTTTATTAGACTTGCACCAGCGAACGCTTCAGAATTAGCCACTATTGTTGCAGATTCTATTATTCAAGTTCAGCGGCAACGCGAGGATTCGAAACTTACAACTCATGAACAAGAAGCTATGGATAATTTGACCTCAGACAAGGTAATTTTTATACATGTATGAAAACTGGTTGTTTTATTCATTAAACATGTTTGATATTCATCATATATATACTAAGACCTGTTTGAGGTTTTTAACCTTCATTGAGAAACGACCATATATATGCTTGAAAGTAACTGATTTCTTCTGGACATATGATTTAAGTGAACGCGCTGACTAATTTTTTCAACTACCAGTCACTAAACTATAGGTTACATCCTATTTCCCATCTTCTTCACAGTTATCATACAAAAGTTGTAATTAAATTCTTCCTGAACAGTTACAGCTTTATATTCACCATTTTATTATCCATAGTTGGTTTTGACTGTCAATTTGTTTTTTGTTTTTAATATTTCTGTTAATCATGTTAAAAGAGAACTGTTTAAGCTACCAGTGAAAAGATAACCACTCTTGATACAAAATATTTTATGTATTCGTTCGCTTTTTAAAATTCATTCTCTGGCTTGTTTTATCCAACGAACCTAACTAAAATTTTAAAATGAAATCGGTGAGGAAAATTAATGGTAAACAGGGAAGTCTTATTTTAAAATTTGTTCAGTACTGTAAATAAAATAATCTTGACTCTTTTAAAGTACTAAAAAGTTCTTTATTGGTCCTAAGTATACTAAAACGAAAAATTCTGAATTTGGGATTCGGTGAACTGGAATGATCTTTGTTGCCGAAATATCACATCAAAACTTGGCTCTTCAGGGTTCTGTTGTGTATATATACATATACATTACACAATAACATCTTAGTGTTACTTGTAAAGTTTCCTATTTTCCTTTTAAAAGTATCTGGATTCACTAACTCAGTGGAAAATGAACTAGCACGTAAGACGAAAGATACTGGGTTCAAGTTTCATTTTGGAAATCATTACTGGAATTCAGGTACTACATCCAGCCACAAGACTCAAATGGGATAAATGCGCATTCTAGATTCCACTGCTAGCTCTTAATCAACATCAATAAAATCTAAGTGCTATATTCGCATATATATAAACACCATCCCTTTTTAAACGTTATTTACGTACTCATTTTACAAAAGCTGAACATATGTACATCACCTCCAAATCCTCTGTGTCGATTTTCATTGATCGCCGATTCATCTACACACTTTGATGGTACGGAATGTAATTGTAATTCACTTACTGATCATTGTTGGCATATGCATAAATGGGTTCGTAGTACGTATTGTTGGCCTCTAGTCGCTAAACGTACGGAAAAAGTCTATTCTGCTGCTATGTCTAAACCACCTGTTTCACTACAAAACAGAATCTCAAGGTAAGAATACAAACTGAATTTCCAAATGTTTCTGTGATATAAGTTACTTGATTGTAATTTTCAGCTTTCGGAACGAAAGTAAATATAGCTCTCAAGAGAGGGATTTTCATCCGTGAGATATTTTTAATCTATATCTCATTATCAGACTACATTTTCTAACATATTTATTAATAACTTCGTTTCATCTGGCATGAATAATATGAATAAGGATGTTTAATTAGCAGTATGGATAGTATGTCCAACAGAAAGTAGTATAGTTTTTTTCTGTTTCTCAGTAAGTTGTAGTTTGTTTTAACAATTGTACCGTAGTTTCTCAACTAATTAGTGTTATAAAGCCTGAAAATTAATCACTGTATGGAAATAAATAGTTCAAGTAAACTTTGACTTCTTCAACTCAAATGATGATAATCTTCAGCAGCTAAATGTACGAATGTTAAAAGATAAGACTAAAGATATCAGATTGTTGTATTTGTACCAACTTGGTCACAAGTGTTATTTTTTCGTTCTTCAGCATTCAGTTGTTCCTGTGCGAAGAATTAACAAAAAAATTAGGGACATTTCTATCGTACAAACACACTAACTTAAATTCTATTTATAAATCAGCAATGGAAAAAACATTTAGTCGGTCCAGTTATTAAAAAGTACAAATAAGCACCTTTCAAGATAATAAAAATGTATTCCTTATGCAAAAAGTGGTTTGTAGGAATTATGGTTATATTTAGGTATCAAAAAGCCTCTTACTCATTCGTTTATAGTTTCTATCTTTAAAGTTTTAATTTGCACGTTGCATTTCATATAACTGAAGCTAATGTTTGTAAATGTCAACTCTTCCGTAAATAATTTGATTCTTGTATATAATAACTTGGAATTATCTGATATTCTCATTTTCCTAAATTAGCTCATTATAATGTCCATAACTTCGACAAGTACTGTCATTTTGAAATAGATCACTAAGATAGTCATAAAAATTGGTAATTCGTGCAAAAGAATAACCTTAATGATTCCTCCATAACCTACATTTTCGCCTTCGATTACTCTATAACTTAGATTATCGCGTGATTGATTAATACATGACTGACCGAATGATTAAAAACTATGCAAATTACACAGATTTATCTAACGTAGTTACATTGACTTATGAGTTTAATGGTTATAATGATACAGTACAATGTAATCCACTACCCAGCTTACAACATTAGTCACTGTTTATGCTTTATAGATATGTCCTTTGTTCAACAATCTGATCAAGGACATTGACGATAGAATTATCAGTAAATTAGTTATCACCAGCTACTGAGAATCAACTGTAACAGCAAATAAGTTATATAATATATCGTGAATGAAATTTTTACACCACTTACGTTAACACACAATCTGTTATCTTAACACTTTTCGTTTAACACCACATGTCTCTTGAGCACTAAAGCAAGTACCTAATTTAAACGTTGTTAACGTTGATTGGATGACTTATTCAGCATACAGTGAACCGGAGAACCATGTACCTATATATATTCGATAATTTTGATGTTTGATTATATTTCATTGAAAAAGCTTGAACCAGATTGCCAGGCGAAACGTTGGGTTTACTTCAAATTCATTCTCTGAGACTTTACAAATACATTCTTCCTCCTTAAGTTATATAATTTTCGATATTTTGTGTATTGAATGACAGTTTTATTTACTTGATATATATCTAAGAGCCACTGTTTTTGCACCATCGTGATATTAGTCTGGTTGTAATAGGTCAGGTTTTTCAGCGTGACGGCAACATCTTTTTAATGAGTTTGGAAGACATGGTCCTTCAAAGTTGAGGATGTTAGGCGACTATGTGTTCGATCGTCTGTCTCCAATGGCAACACCATGTGAGTAATGTTGAAGTTCACCAATGTGTGTTCAAACCCGATGATGATGATTCACTTATTATCACCACTTCAAAACACTGACTTCAGTAGCTTGGACATGTCTCACGAATGTTACACAAGTAGTCTTCCCTTCTTGCGTTATTTACCAACGCTAGAACTAGGTGGGAAAATCAATGACATGGCGAATCAGAAGTTTAAAAAGTTATTGTTCAGACTAGAAGCTAATAACGATCGCACTGTAGTTTCTTTTTCGCTCTTCATAAAATTAAAATGACCTTAATTGAGATCATGAACCGATCAATTTTTACTACCGTTCAAAACCTGAAAGCACTAGTCGGCCGTTTCGTTCTAGTATGGAGTTCCTCTGCAGTGCACACCCACGACTCAGCACGTGGGACTCGAACCCAAAACACTGGGTCTCGCGTGCGAACGCTTAACCTACAAACAACTGAGCCGGCATCCAACCGTGTTCATGTTCAACCCCAACCAATCCACGACATCGCGCGACCATTCTCCATTGTCTTCAGTGAGTAGCTGCCATACACCTGACATAGCTGAAATCCACTGCTCACGCCTTCTCCACAACCCTATACTGATAAAATGATTTTCCTTGATTGAAAAAAGTTTTTGTTAGTTATATTCTTATTTGACCTAAATTTCTTATTAAATACTATTCCTGTTTGTTTACTTGATTATATTACCCTTTTCCCTTTTATTTCTTCATAGTATATTCACTTCACTTGTTTGGCACATACTGTTTTCGGTGGCATATTATATTAGAATCCATTACTTATCTAAATTTTTAGGTTTAAACAGTTTTCGCATACATTATCTCAATTATTTTTTAGGATTTGCTAAGCTTTGAACTAGTTTTGGTTGTTGGATCAAATTCAGGGTGTTTTACATTTGTGCAGATGTATTTTTACTATTTATTATGTTCTAGTTTATTTCTTTTTAATGCAGATTGTACCAACTTGGTCCACTTACTGGGAAAATAACATGTTTTGCCGCCATTTTACACTGGCTTCTTCTTCAATTTATATCATGGCTTAGACCTGAACAGGTTTGTTAGTATGCTTTGATAAACTGAGATGTAGTCATTTTTCTGTATTTTATTTTGGGAATTTTACCAGTTAATTCACTTCCTTTTGAAAAAATATGTGAATGAATGATTGTTTCATCACTATGTTTTTAAAGATTGTTTATGGCAACGTTTCTGAACGATCCAATAAAATTAAAATAACTAAGTTTAGATAAATCAGAACTGGTTCCAGAAAATTTGTCAACTGTAATTATTGTGTAATAATTTACACTATATTAAGGAACATTATCTATGAATAATTATTATTTGTTGTCCAATTAATTTATACATTTTCCCACCACTTGATCAATAAAAGACTGCGTTACAAGGCGTATTGCCCATAGCTGAGTAACTTAATTTTATTTGACGGTTATTTACTTATAGTCCAACTCACCGAGGTAGGGGCATGTGGGTGGTGATTTTGTTCATTTGAATAATTCATCCGACAAAAGCCGAATACTGCCTTAGGAATCAACTCGGGTTTTACTACTTGGACAGCTGAAGACTTTGCACTTATAAGTACACTGAATTACATTGATGAAAGTCGTGTAAACACTACATGACACGTAGATATTAGAGGAATATGAATCTTTCGTTTAAGGCAATTCATAACTCTATAATATTCACTGAGTAAGCTCGTCTCCTTTTATCGAGGTCTTTCTAAATACACTGACAGTAACTTAGTTATTAAATGAGCACTTCAACCCATGGACACAGTTAAATACTATCATAATGTTAAGTAGATATACTAGCCAGGTCTCAGTCTCACTTTGAAATAAATTTTCAAAATAAGTTTAATTTAGATATTATGATAGTGTTACAGAAATCTTTCAATATTTACATATAGTATCTGTAATAGACTGGAGAAATTATTTATCTGAGAGCTGAAAAGCTTCTTCATGTTTATATTTTATATTCTGAAGTTCCAACGGTTTCTTCAAAATAGGTTTATTGTTATTTCAATAGATTTCAAAAAATGAGGTAAACAGTGATCTACTTGATAATGTGCTAAATAGCAATTCCACTTGTCAACCACTACTATAATGATCACCGCTAGATCTGCACTCGAGTAAGAAATAAGACGGTGGTACATACGTGAATTTATTGAAATTAGATTAACCCGGTTAGGTGCTTACAAATCAATTGTTATTTCTCTAACTAATATTAGTAATTGACAGATAAAATCTCATACACATAGTTCCCTTTATCATTTTGAAAAGAGCACGAACGAAGATTCTAGCAGAATAGCATGAATTCATTTTATTTCGTAGGTTCTCATCAGCTGCTTACAACCTGTGATATTTATAAATCATAATTAGATAATGAGTTTAAATGACGTACATGAGAGGGTTTGGTTAGAAGTTATATTGAAGGCATATTCGTATAGTATAGCAAGGGTGTAATTGAAATTAATGGACTGAATATTGTAAATATATACCTAATGTGAAAGAATATTTTACATCATTAATTGTGACAACAGTTCAAAAAGGGGGTTAGAAACAATTGATTACATAATGAGTAAAAATTTTGATAGGAATATATTGAGTAGAGTTCAGTTAAAAGATTATTAATTTGAAACGTAGTTGAAGAAATAAAAATAATAAAAATCAATGGTGTAATAAGTACTTCTAACTGAACTCTACTCAATATATTCCTATCAAAATTTTTACTAATTATGTAATCAATTGTTTCTAACCCCCTTTTTGAACTGTTGTCACAATTAATGATGTAAAATATTCTTTCACATTAGGTATATATTTACAATATTCAGTCCATTAATTTCAATTACACCCTTGCTATACTATACGAATATGCCTTCAATATAACTTCTAACCAAACCCTCTCATGTACGCCATTTAAACTCATTATCTAATTATGATTTATAAATATCACAGGTTGTAAGCAGCTGATGAGAACCTGCGAAATAAAATGAATTCATGCTATTCTGCTAGAATCTTCGTTCGTGCTCTTTTCAACAGATAAAATCACCTTTTTCTACGTCTATTCAACTGAGATTCAGTTCGTTACGGTAATCTATTTTATTACTTTTTAAAATTCAGATAATAGATATAATGCCATCACTTGAAACACCTATAGAAGATTTCAGTGATAGTGAATGTGAGGATTTTTCGGTTGATTCACATAAATAATATCTACGTTTATTTCAATTGTATTGAACTGATAACTTTATAATTCTCCTGTGCATAATTTTACTTTCAATGGAATTGTTTTATTTTTTATTTATTCGTTAAAACGTATTCATTATTCTTCTAAAGATTTAAACTCAAATTGTTTGTTGTTCTACTTTGGAATTTTACAATATAGAAGCTTTAGCTGATTAGATGGTGGTTGGAGGTATTCGAACTGCGCCTGGAGTCCCTCTGGGGGCTAATGCCGGTCCCAAGCCTGGATAAAGGAGGAGGGTTGGGCATGGGGTTAGCGACCTCATCCTGTAGAAAACTAACTCTCTAAAAAAAACGCTAACCGGAAAAAACTATTCGAACCACTTAAACTCTGCCCTGGGAATCAGAAGGTCTTCGTTTAGAAGAATTACGACATTACATGAAGAAGAAAATGTCCCACATACACAAGGAGTAGCATTGATGCTGTCCAAACAAGCACAAAATTCACTTATAGGATGGGAATCTCATGGACCAAGGAACATCAAGGCTCCCTTCAAAACAATGAACGTCACCCAATGCTACGCGCCTACCAACGACTACAATGAAGACGCTAAAGGTCGATTCTACGATAGGCTGCAATCAATCGTCGAAAAGTGCCCAACAAAGGACCTGACCATTCTGATGGGAGACCTAAATGCCAAGGTTAGAATTGACAACACCGGATATGAAGAGATCATGGGACGACACGGACTGGGAGAAAAGAACGAAAATGGTGAGAGATTTGCAAATCTATGTGCCTTCAATAAACTGGTCATAGGCGGGACTATATTCCCACATAAACGCATACACAAAACCACATGGACTTCACCGGATCACACCACACAGAACCAAATCGACCATATCTGCATCAACAAAAATTCAGGAGGACGTGAGAACAAAGAGAGGAGCTGATATTGCATCAGATCATCACTTACTGATCGCCAAGATGAAATTGAAACTCAAGAAGCACTGTGCAACGCGGAGGACAATATCACAAAAGTTTAATACGGCTCTTCTTCGGGATAATGACAAATTCAAGATAGACCTCTGCAATAAATTCCAGGCGTTTCATGATCTACTCAATGGAGAAGAAACTACTGTGGAGAGCAACTGGAAAGAGATAAAAGAGGCAATCACTTCAACATGTCATGAGGTTCTGGGCCAAAAGAAGCACCATCACAAGGATTGAATCACGGTCGATACACTGGATAAGATTCAAGAAAGGAGGAACAAGAAAGCAGCAATCAATACCAGTCGAACAAGAGCAGAAAATGTCAAGGCACAGGCTGAATACACAGAAGTAAACTAGCAAGTGAAAAGGAGCATCAGAACTGACAAACGTAAATATGTGGAAGATTTGGCATTGACGGCGGAAAAGGCTGCCAGAGAAGGAAACATGAGACAACTGTATGAAACAACAAAGAAACTCTCTGGAAATCACCGTAAACCAGAACGACCAGTGAAAAGCAAGGAAGGCAAGATAATCACCAACATTGAAGAACAACGAAACAGGTGGGTAGAACACTTCAAAGAACTCTTGAATCGACCAGCCCCACTGAACCCACCCAACATCGAAGCAGCACTCACGGACCTCCCAATTGATGTTGGCGCACCGGCAATTGAAGAAATCAGCACGGCTATCAGACAAATCAAGAGTGGCAAAGCAGCAGGACTAGACAGCATTCCAGCAGAGGCACTGAAAGCAGACGTAGCGGCAACTGCAGGGATACTCCACATTCTCTTCAATAAGATTTGGGATGAGGAACAAGTACCAAAAGACTGGAAAGAAGGGCTTCTAGTCAAAATACCAAAGAAAGGCGATCTCAGCAACTGTGACAACTACAGGGGAATCACTCTTCTTTCAATACCAGGAAAAGTCTTCAACAGGGTATTGTTAAACAGGATGAAGGACTCTGTAGACGCCCAACTTCGAGACCAACAGGCAGGATTCCGTAAGGATAGATCGTGTACAGACCAAATCGCAACTCTACGGATCATTGTGGAACAATCAATTGAATGGAATTCATCACTCTATATCAACTTCGTTGACTATGAAAAAGCATGTGACAGCGTGGACAGAACAGCCCTATGGAAGCTTCTTCGACACTACGGCGTGCCTCAGAAGATAGTCAATATCATACGAAATTCCTATGATGGATTAAACTGCAAAATCGTTCATGGAGGACAGTTGACAAAGTCGTTCGAAGTAAAGACCGGTGTCAGGCAAGGTTGCTTACTCTCACCCTTTCTCTTTCTCCTGGTGATCGACTGGATCATGAAGACATCAACATCTGAAGGGAAGCACGGGATACAGTGGACATCTAAGATGCAGTTGGATGATCTAGACTTCGCAGATGATCTCGCTCTTCTATCGCACACACAACAACAAATGCAGGAGAAGACGACCAGTGTAGCAGCATCCACAGCAGCAATAGGTCTCAATATACACAAAGGTTAAAGCAAGATTTTCCGACACAACACAGCATGCAACAATCCAATCACAATTGACGGAGAAGCTTTGGAAGATGTAAAAACCTTTACATATTTGGGTAGCATGATTGATGAACATGGTGGATCTGATGCAGACGTAAAGGCACGAATCGGCAAATTAAGAGCAACATATTTACAACTGAAGAATATCTGGAACTCAAAACAATTGTCAACCAACACGAAGGTCAGGATTTTCAACACAAATGTCAAAACAGTTCTACTGTATGGGGCGAAAACCTGGAACACTACGAAAGCCATCACTGAGAAGATGCAGGTGTTTATTAACAGTTGTCTACGCATAATACTTCGGATCCGTTGACCAGACACCAACAACAACAACCTACTGTGGGAGAGAACAAATCAAATCCCAGTGGAGGAAGAAATGAGGAAGAGGCGCTGGAAGTGGATAGGACACACATTGAGGAAAGCAGCCAACTGCATCACAAGGCAAGCCCTCACATGGAATCCTCAAGGTCGAAGGAGGAGAGGAAGACCAAAGAACACATTACGCCTAGAAATAGAGATAGACATGAGAAAAATGAACAAGAATTGGATGGAACTAGAAAAGAAGGCCCAGGACAGAGTGGGTTGGAGAATGCTGGTCGGCGGCCTATGCTCCATTGGGAGTAACAGGCGTAAGTAAGTGGAGGCAGTCGTCAGTAAAACACTGGACCAGGGTTTCGTGCTACTTGGCACTCGTCAGGAAGGTGTACCTGTAATCTTCGAGGGAACTGGTGATCATTGGTGGATTCGACCCCGTGTCACCCAGCTTCACAATCAGAGATGTTACCACTGAGCTATCCGGGCCGCGACCGACCTCCTGTAGGACTGAGATGTAATCACAATTGATTGATCACTGAGTGGTGACTAATGTTTCCTGTCGACCGCCTCCTACCACTATCTAGTCTCACAATAGTGCCCGCAGTGTCGAGTCACCTAGACTGGTGGCCACATCGCAACATGGTCGATAGCATTCGGTCTGCACTAATAATAAGGACTAGACACGCATGACATTGGTCACCACCCAGTGGTCAATCAATTGTGAAGCTTTAGCTGTTTAATTTACTTTTAACATGGAACTAGTAAAAGCAGTTCATTCCAACAAGGGGTGAAACATTGAGCTTGGGCTAAGGCAGCATTCAAACATACAGTAAACGTAAGATAGGCTAATATAGTGAAAGAAAGGTTGGTGGTGTTTCTGGCCAGTAATCACCGTCTGTGGAGTGAGACGTTTTCCTTTTGTTATGGCTTTTTATGGTCTACCGGGATTTCACTGTTTGGTATTGTTAACTTTCTATGCCAATTACCACTTTGATTTATGTTTTAAATTGACTGCACATCCCACTGAGAAATTCTATTACAAGCTGAATAGAACGGTCGTGACAAAAAGGGTGCTGTGTTAGCTTTGTGAAAGTAATGATAATAATTGCGTTAAATGGAAAAGCAACATTTCATTTGTGCATATAAACTCATTTGAACAGCTTCATGTAATTGCTTCAGTAGGCATGGAAGGTTTGTTTATTGGTGTTAACATTGGTTATAATGTTTCTGAAATGTTACCAAAACTGGCTGTGTGGGAAATTGCTTCTGAAACGAACTAACTGTACTATCGATCGAAACCCATTATTGATTTTGAAAATAGTCGGGAAGTTGATGCTCCAGTTGGTGCAAGTACATTGAGTAGACTTAGTCGATAAAGAGACGGAAGATGATAAAGATCCTGTTTTGTCGAACTCACTAAGTTTATAGAGTTCTTTTCCAGGGTCACGAGTAATAGTTTCGGACGGTCGGCATCCCGCCCCAGAAAGAGACAACGTGAAGGTGAGTTGTCACTTAGAGTTTGAGCAGCTGAATAATTCAGTGGTAAAACGCCAGTTCAGTATGTGCTCTAATTATCGTGATATTTAACAATGACTTTTGGTGCTGAATATGAGAGACCGATGGCCGCAAGCGAAGGCTGAGTGTATTTGCCTCTTTTCTCTTAGGCAAGAACACAGATCCATTTAATGCAGATCGTCAAGGTGACGTGACGTATGAGCGCACAACGTTACACCATTTTATGTTACATAGTGGTCCACAAGTCAACAGCTTGGGTGACAGTCTTGTCAATGAGTCGTTGCAAATATACTAAATCTCTAGGATAATATATGTGTTTAGAAGTGATTCCCGAAAGTTCATGATCAGAAGATGAAGAGGAAGTAAGGTATGTTTTTTGGATAACGGCCATAATATAGTATTGGTAAGTTCGTGTTAAGGAAAGACCAAGTGCCAATAGTAATACAGATGGGGAAAGGTAACAAAATAGAGGAGGCTTCATATGAACCTTTTGAGGTGTGCTCATTAAGCTAGACACAATAAAACTGAATGAGATTGAATCATGAAAAGGGATACAGGAAATAAGCCTGTGAAATATATAGTGAACAATTAGAGGAAAGTGGCTGCGTTTAGTGAACTTACCATTAAATAACCCCGACTCTGGTGGGTTTCTACCAGTGATC